AGGGCAGCACACGGTGCGATCGCGCGACCCTGCACGTGAGCAATCTCCCAACTCATCTCTGCAAATACAGCATTGCCGCCATATGATTGCCGTATAGAATATGAATTTTATTTCTTGGTGTCTATTAGTTTATCACTTTTTCGTAATGAATGAATGTTCATCAGTGTTCACAAATTTTAGGAGTTTTGACTCCATAACGTAGATCAGTAGAAATGCTTGAAAAATAGATTCTTAACGTCACTTTCCTAGCAAAGCAAAATGAGCCAGCCGGACTGGGTGGTACGCTTTGCAAAAGTAGGAACTACTTTAGGTGGATTAAATCCATTTGTACCAATTTTGGTTGAAAATATTCCTCGTTACATACAGTTAAAAGGTTATGAACAGAACTATGTCAAAGATGTACAAACTATAGGAAGGATCCGTTCTGATACTCCCTTACGTTTATTCATTTATTCTGTTACATCTGGGAAAGATGCTAAATTTCCGTTAAATCTTAATAATTTGTCTCTTGAACAAATTTCTTCACTGCGATCGGATGGATCGTACAGAGACAAATGGGTAAGCAACGATCAGGCAGCTGATGCGTATTGACATGAACCATATATAGAAATGCCTTAAAATTTAAATAGAATTTTCTTATCAAGGCAAATAGAAGTATTTTTAAAGTATTTGGAACCTTAAGACACATCAACGGAGATATTGTTCTTGTTGCCATCCGTTTAGAAAAGGTAGAAGATCCAATTGGTAGTTTAAAAACATTAGGGATGTTAGCTGCTTTTGCTCCTAAGAAATATTGTCAGTAAGTAGATTACAGATCTTACCATATTAATTGGAACAAGAGGTATATCTTTATTCTATTACATTTTTTAGGTATCATATCGATACATCGAGTACCTTTTCGGATTTATTCTGGGAATTGATAAAGAAGAAAAAGGTAATAAGTTTCTTTTTTCATTTACTGAAACATGACCAAATCCAATATCCTATTGAAACATTTGTTGATATTAACGTTAATTCTTATATCTTTTATTTTTATTACTTTTATAACATATAGCGCCATCTTAAATGTGTAGTAAATACATATTTAGTTGGTCAGATTCTCAGCAGAGAAATAAGTGATACAGGAAATTAGACAAGTTGTCATACATTAATTTCTTATTTTGTCAAATCCATCTGATATTTGTACGATGTCTGAGTTGAGTCAAAAAGAAAAAATATTCTGACCAACATGAAATTCTAATTTCTAAGGTGACAGCCACAGAAAACGAAGTCTAACCTCAAATGTTGAAGCTTCTCAGCATTTTGCAAACAAGCTTACAAGTATTTCCTAATAGAACTACTGGATCACCTGATGTTATAAGAGCTGCCAAATTAATTCACAATAAGAGCAGAAAAATGGTGAGGTATCTGGAGCAGACTGAAGCAATTAATATCGATAAAGACCTGTTCGAAAGGTATCGATTCAGTGTTGATCAACTAATGGAACTTGCTGGGCAAAGTTGTGCAGTTGTGATTGCAAAATGTTATCCATTAGTAAAAAGTGCTTCCAACAATGTGTTGATATGTTGTGGGCCAGGAAATAATGGAGGTGATGGTCTGGTTTGTGCTAGACATTTGAAACTTTTTGGATATGCTCCTGAAATTTATTATCCAAAAAGAACTTCAAACCGTTTATACGAAAATCTTCTACACCAATGCACTGAAAATGATATTCCCATTGTTGAAAGTACAGAGAAATTTAAGGAACTGAATAAGAATATTGTTATAATAGATGCATTATTTGGATTTAGCTTTAAACCTCCAGTTCGAGATGAATTTGTTCCGATTATGAATATCCTAAAAAGTACAGTGATTCCAATATGCAGCATTGATATACCTTCTGGCTGGAATGTAGAAAATGGTCCTTCCAAAGGGGATATAAATCCAGAAACACTAATATCTTTAACTGCACCAAAAATGTGTGCTCGTCACTTCAAAGGAAAATACCATTATTTAGGAGGACGATTTGTACCTAAAAAACTGGAAATTCAATATGACCTACAGCTTCCTGAATATCCTGGGACTGATCTGGTTGTTCCTTTATCATAAACAGAAATTATGATATATTTTAAATATTCAGTGTATCTTTTTTGAATTTCATGTAAATTTATATTTAATTCATGTAAGTCATATGCTAACTGACAAAGCTGTATCAATTTATAAACAAGTTTTATATACTGATTTGATATGTTAAGATAGAAAGATACGTAAAATTCGATTTAATACTGTATTTTTTTATATGGAGTACGAGAGTTAATGTTAATTCATTTGTAATATTACTATAATTAATCATAAGTAAACATAAACATAGTGATCCTTGTGTTATTGTGTACATATCTTCAGACATTACTACAATAAATAATGCCATTCTGTTAAGTATCGCATTTAACAAACACTTTATTGATCAGAAGCTATTAATTCTATATTTAAAATTTTACTCATTACCTTTAACACCTTCACAATCAGGAATAGTTAATGTATTTTGCCACATCAGGTATTCTATGCAGAAGAAATCAATCAGTAATGTAGTGTACAACATCCACATCGTGAACATATGGTTTGTGCTTGAAAGTGATCAACCTCACTGTGGACGCATCTAATAAAAAGGGATTAAACATTAATGTTAAAGTAAATAGCTTTTATTACATTGTGAAACGAAGACAATTTAACGAGCGAACAACAATTCTAAGACTCTAATGTTCTTGCTATTTGACGGCTTAAAGTGCAATGGTACACCGTAATTATCTATTGTTTTCTGTGAGTGTTGACAATTTTCTACCTTGAAATTCTTCTTCCGCAGACAAAAAAAGAACTGATACCGATTAACAAATCTGAAAGAATGCGCCAACTCAAATCTATCTAATGAATTTGTAGACATTACTGCTTGAATGTAATTTATTTCTGTAAAATTATCCAAAAGAAAATTTAATAATTTTGAAATAACTAATGTGTTTTTTTAAATCTGACAGATTTGAAAAGAACTATGGTTAGATTTTTATACAAAAATGTAATCATACAGTTTAATGCCATGAATGCTTTCAAATCAATTTCTTACTTTCAGATTCGTTAAACGGTCTCAATGACTTTTTGTTTATCGAGACCTTCGTCGTCCGCTTTTGCAGAACAAACGAAAAATCCAAATCGTGCATGTTCGCTTAGAGCGCTAGAATGGATTCCAAAACTGTGCGCTTCCTGCAGAAAAAAAGGCACCAACTGGCGGAAAAGTCGGCCTAACTGTATAATATTTCATTTATTTATTATGGATGGAACTTTGTCACAATACAATATTTTTAATTCCACAGTAACAAACACGACGTAAAGGTCGCAACGTTTAAAAGTTAGCGGCAGAGCGTGAACAGCGTCAAAATTTATTTAGCCAAGCTTGAACCCGAGCTTTGATTTCTTCGTTTGATCATGTTTAATTTTTACAAGCTATATCTAAAATCTTTCCAATACCAGAGGCATCGAACTATCTTTCAATTATTTATATCATAAATTTTCAAAGTAACTCTCATGCAAGCGGAATGTATTGATAGTTTTCTCATAAAATGCCATATGTATCGCCCGATGCAATAAGTCAATTAACCCGCCTAAGTTCAGCATTTGATAAGTTTTTCCTTTCACAAACTTAAAAAAAAAAAAAAATGGCCCAAACCTCAGTAAGCCAAAGAACAACTTTATCAATGAAATTGGCACTGTCGACGCTGTGCAACTACTCTTTCATTTCCCTTGCCCTTGAGTACGTATTGCATTACATTTCACCATTATAATATTCGTATAATTATTTATGGCAATTAAATGTAATTATGTATATAATATATACCAATTTAGTAAAATTATGTTTTAAATCTACAAGTATATGCTATGTCGTAGTTACGCTCTAACCTCTAAAAGAAACGGTACATTATTGTCTGCTTTATCGAATAGTTATATACATTTTATTTTTTATTTTGGTACTTATTAATATAGGTCATGGAAAGCTCAACGGCATAACCACCAGTATTACTGCGTATAATCGAGGAAATAAAAAGATTTGCAGTTACTTCGAGCCGTCGTTTCGAATTGTACGAGCTCAACGCGTCGAAGTAACCACCTTCGGCAATAAACTCACTTCGTCGAATTATTTGGCAACTAGACAAGCTCGGTCGTTCACGGAAGGCATCGTATGGTGCTTAAATCGTTGCTTTAACAATCGTAACAATTTTTTTTAGGAATTACAGATGTCACCGCTGGCTAGCACCGCGGTAGTTGTGCTTAAAATTGTCTACAGAAACCGGTAATAAATCTACGCATGTGTTCAGGCCTAGAATTTTCACAGTGATACAACAAAAAATCTTGGTCGAACTATTGTTGATTCGTCAAATAATTTGTAGGTATTTCAAATTGTTGAATTACGGTCCACTGTTATTCTATCTGCGCGTTTCTAAAGACAATTTCAAGCACGGTCGTACTGATGGACAGTCTATTGATTCGGATCAATTTTTCGTACGCAAAGCAGAGAACAGATTTTGTAGTCTCGACTGCCGTTTTTGTTTACATCTGGACGCACATGATTATCTAACTTTCTGACTTCCACAGTTCAGAATGTTGGATGCAAAGTATAATCGATAATCTACCTTTGAAGACATTAATCCCTTTAAGTCAGTAATTCATCTGGTCAATTTAGAAATCTCTTGTAGATATAATAACGGTAACAACCAAATAAACATTTTGAGCACGTTAGCGAAGAAAAGTATCGATAAGTGAACTGTGAGAAAGCCAAAAAGTCGGGTCATATCGTCTTAACGAGATGTACGGATCATCAAAAGAGCACAAGCAATCGTGGAACGTGTTTAAAAGCAGATTTAAGAATTACCCAAAATGTAACCTATCATCTGCTCACCCTGCTACAAAGTATAATTAAATAATATTATCAAATGAGTAAGATTGTCTTCTCTGGAATAAAAATCTACCCAGATGTTAAGGATATTTATGCATCAGCAGGCAATACGAAATATCTCAAGATGTCAATAGTCACGAATCATCAGTTACTGAGTATCGTTACTACAGGAAGCCAGACAGTGAACGTCACTTTGGAATAATAAGTGGCAGATAATGGGCTAAAACGGTCAAGATTTTCCGAGTTGCGTCAGGTGTTCTGACAGACTACTACCACGTGACAACGCGGTCAAATGTCAAAAGAACGGAGTTCATAAATGCAATGACGCGCCGCGTCGTCAACGGGGTAGAGATATTCATCGCCGCGACCTCTGTTCAAGATTTTCCTTCGCGAAGAGAATTTCGGCAAGAGGGTCGCAGCGTCGACCAGACGCGATAATTTGCTCGGCAAGAGAAAGGTTGGCCTGTAATCGATTATAAATCGGAATACCAAAAATACGAGAGGGGAACTGCATTTGAAGATTTCTGACGAGTGCCGATAAAGAGGGAGAGAGAGACAGAGGCCCGTCGCGATCGAACACGAGCGATCGTTTTATTCTATCGTATATAATATTATATTATAATTATATAAAAATATATTTCTTAAGTGTTAACACTATAATAAAAGAGTATTATAAGCATCATATCTGTTTCTTCGTAGTGTGTACACGATGCCTGTCGCGGATAACCGAAGCTTCTACGTGAGAAAGTGCAAGTTCAGCATTTGGGCAAACGCCGTACACACGGCAATTACGTTCGCGCTCGTCGCATTATATTTAATAACAATATCACTTATCACTTCTGGCATGTGTAAATAAAAAGATGAATAAACTGTTATAAAATACATTCTCGAGTATTATCATCTGTAGAGTATACTGCTTACCTACGCGCCTGAACGAATAAAATCATATAAATGACGTAATAATATTTAATAGTACAGTATTGGAAGCATTTAATATCATACTTAGATCTTAGGACGAGGCCCTGGGTATCGGCGAGGAAGCCAACGCGAGTTTCGATTCACTGGTTTACCGAGCCGCTAACTTTTCGTTCGATTTGCCAGTATCTCGCAATTTATTAATTATCCCACGTGGGGCAAAATCGACTCACCCCAGTTTCCAAGATTAGCCATGTACAAATTGACTTACTTAATAAGCATACCTAATGTCTACGTCTGATGAAATATTATCGACAAGATATATTATCGCAGAACGAAATCCCCCACATATTTTCAGCTACTTTGTATAAATCTAATGTACAATTACGGTACCATTTTCTTTCAGCCTGGTTAAGACTTTTGTTGCAGTCCCCAAATGATCTGAAACTCTACGTAAATTTCTCATCCTCGGAGAAGATTCGAGCGAACGAAAAGCACGGCTCGGCTAGTTTGATTTTTCCTCGAAGGCAAGAGTCGAAAACGGGAGGAAAAGAGGAAAGAGACCCCGGAAAAGTGCGAATGGGCCTTTACGGAATGTGCTTAGCGATGAGGCCAACATTTCCGCATTCGTAGCCGGTCGGCACGGCGTCGACCCGTAAGTACGATTTTCCCCAAGGGGACGGACCACATGGGGTCCCCTTGGGAAGTAATCTCGCGAGGACAATCTCTCGTACCGTAAGCCATCAGGGCCCCACATTCTCGACTCTAATAATATAGTTATTTAAAGTGAGGAGGCGAAATTCGAGATTCTCTTCTCCATTCTGGTAACCGGGCGCCGAGTATCATAAGCTCTATCAGCGATAATCCAGAAGGGGGGCGTCTTCTCTCGACGCGTATTCGCCCATCGGATTCGAGAGTTAAGCGTCCGAAAGAAATAACTAATTTCGACCCAAAGTCGCCCTCGCATCGAGTGCACGCTCAAACATCTTCCGGTATCCCTAGTTAGGCTTTAAAAAAATAGGCATTTGAACGAACCGTAGGTAACCACGAACCGCACTCTAGTCACGAGACTGACGGGAAAGTGCGCCTCGAATGATCAACCGCGGCTCCGGTTGCTGCAGACTTTTCCCAGGCTCGGTCGCATCCGTCATACAATATTATCTGAATTCCATTTCGGGGATAGTTTATTGTCGTTGTCAAAAAGACGTTTCCGGAAGAGAATTCATTAGTCGTGGACCGCATCCAAAGGGTCAGACCCAGGTACCGAGTTTAAAACGATGGTCCGTCAAAAAAGATTTGTCCAAGTTCTTGCCAAGCAATCGTTACACTTATCACCAACCGAATTAATATCCAGACCTCTGTCAAAATATGTACATCTCTCTATTACGCCCACAGAGTTCCACGTATATTACATCCATTAAAAATGTTACAAAAGTTACGTGATAATCATTGGTCGTTTTCATCGCTAATATTGCAACGTTATTGAAATGCACATCGAAGAAGTGTCCAGGACATCCGTTGACTCTATTTCTGATCACTCAAAATGGATCTTGGTAGTCTACCGTTGTTAACGTTCATATGGAAAATATCTTTAGCGTACAGCTCGAACCATTAGGAAATCTAGCGGTAAAGAAACGACAAGACGTTACAGCTGATGCCGTCGAGGCGCACTCTGAGCTTCAGTCAATAGGTACCTCGATTGAACCTCTTTCCATCCCTTCCGAGACATTCAAACATGGATTCCATCCATAAACCGATTTACGGATGCAACATTCTCCGAGCGTGCGAATAAACAATGCAGCGCGGTGCGCGCTCGCGAATTTGCATGTCCTCGAATGGAAGTCGCACTCCTCAGCGAATGTGGCTAACAAATTTGTACATTAATTAGTTTCCTTATTATTGTCATGGTATATATAATATCTTGTTAATANTAGATTATTGCATTATGCATTTTTGGTACCGTTACGTGTTGTTTGGTTATTTTTGTGTATTTGGCTGTGAGAGGGAGAGAAAGGGAGCAAGATTGAGAGAGACAAAAGGTTCATAACATTCATTAGCCCTAAGTATTTCTACGAAACTGTGCGAGATCGTCTTCCCTCCCTAACGTGGTGCCCGAATTTATGAGAATTTTAGTACCATTGAATTTTCCCTAGGAATAAATTCCTGGGATATTACAACTTGTCCGTTCCCCGCCCATGTTAAATTTCAAGGTTCGCTTAATACGTACAATTGGTTAATGGTTGGACCACTCTTGGCAACTGAATTCGTGTACTCAAACTTATTACATTTCTAGTCTAGGAGTCACTTGTTCGTAAGTGATTTGGCCAACCTAGGGGCAAATTATAAGAATTGGGTCAATAAGTAAAACTTGGCAGTCGGGGTGGCTGTTCGCTATCTGTAAACGATACCGCCGCTAAATGGAGAATCTCCTTGCTAGTGAGAAAATGCTTAAAAAAAAAAAGAAACCCTGACCATTGTATCCACCGTTCAAGATGAAAGAAATCCTAGGTAACATTTAATCTAATTGAGGTAACCTAGATCAAAGAAAGTTTCATCTTCGCTTGAACTATTCTACGCATTACTAAGCCCAAATATCTCCGAGGATACAAATCCAGTGCTGAACCAGTTGCAAATATCTACATGGGCAAGGAAATAATGGACAGTGTTCAAGGTTTAATTTTCGAAACTGCACATATACCTATGAGTCTCTCCCAATCTCGACGACTGCTTTCTGGTTCGGTCGAGGTTCGTCGAGGCGCGAAAATTTCCGAAGAAATCTCTTCCGGCCTGACCGTCGTCTACATCAATTGCGATGCGCAGATGATGAGCGAGCGGCCTTATTAAATGCTACACGACGTTTCTGAACGAGAAGGTCCTTGGATACTTAGCTAAGCTTAAGGGCCATGGGCGAACGAGGGTGGCGCTCCTATTCTCTGTAGGGTTTGCAATAGGAGTAACGGTGGTTCATGTGCTGGCTGTAGGAGCCGGAGTGAGAGAAGCGCTTGAGGCACTTGGAACACTGGAAAGGCTTTTCGCCAGTGTGGAGCCGCTTGTGTTCGGTCAGGTGATGCTTGTGCTTGAACGCCCTCGGGCACTCCTCGCACTTGTACGGCCTTTGCCCTATGTAAAGAATTCCTCCTAATAAGTATCACGACCACGCTAAGACTCCCGATCGATGATTCGCGGTGAAAAGATAATTTCATCTCTCAAAAGTTACCGCTATCTCGGGCTCTACTTACCGGAATGTTCGTACTTGTGTCTCGCGAGCGAGCTGTGCTTCGAAAACGTTTTGTCGCACTGGCCGCAGAAGTAGAGGCCTTCCTGCTCGGTCTCTGCCGCAGGGACGTCCGCTTGCGCCAGGACGTCACTCTCGTTTTTCGTTTGTGCTTGACCTTGACTCTGTGCCAACGAAATCAACGAATGATCGATGCTAATCCCCGAGTAAGATGTCTCTACGAACTAGTATGACAACCAACCTTTGAACTGATCTCGGTACAGGCAAATGGTACCGACTTCACTTCTGCGGAATCGACGGTCTCCTCATCGATGACGAGCGGCGAATCTTCGGGGTCGTCCGTATCGAGATTAGGGGGGGCAGGGTTGTCGTCCTTCGATCCGTAAGGAGACGACGTGTTTCTGCTGGAAGTGTCGCTATCCTTCGCTACCAAATTGGGGTGGACCTCCTTTTTCGACAGATCTAGGGGTTGCTCAGTGGTAGTCTGTATCGGCACCAGAGCCGGTACCTTTGACTCTCTGCGATCTCTTGCTCGTGAGTTTTGAAACCAAACCTACATAAACGTAAGCACTTACAAGTCAAGACCATCAAGGAAACGAGTGCCCACAGCCTATCTTACTCTGGCCTTATAGCTCACCTGAACGACTCGGGTGGAGAAATTAATATAATTGGCGATCATAGTAATTTCCTCCTTCTTGGGCCGAGGATTAATGGCGTAGTAGCCCCTGAGGACGGCCAACTGTTCGTCGTCTATCAAAGACCTGGCTCTTACTCTGCGACCACTTTCTCCCTGAGGTTGGCTGATTTCGTCCTCATACTCCGTATCCATATCGGAGCTGTCGACCACAGGCTCGGCCTGCGCTTTCCTCTTGTAGCCTACCCTCGCCGCCGGCATTTGGTTCACTTCTTCAAGCTTTGCTGCCAAGCCTTCGCTCTGAGAGTCGTACTGATCGGCCGCGGGCCAATCGGGACAATGCGTCGTCACCTCGCTGGACATCTCGCTGTCCTGATCCTAAAAATCACAGGGAAACATATCATTTTGTGCTCCTACTTGCTCCTCCCGAGTCCACGTCGATCAAGTACTTAATGCGATTCATCTCGGCTTTGATAAAAACAGATTTATCACCTGGTAATCCTCGTCTATTTCTCGCTTGATGGTCGCCGGCGAGGAAGCCAGCTTTCTCACGTTGGCTTCCAGTAATTGCTTGGTGACGGAAGTATTGACGGTCTCGAGAATCCTCCGAACGGCATCCAAACCCTGTGGATCCGGCGGTGCAGGAGAATCCTTTCCTTCGGTACCTTCCGTGCCCTCGGAGTCAGCCGTAGACGGACTCATCGTCTCGTGGTGCGACTCGAACTGTTCGGCTACCTCGTCCAGCCTCTTCGAGTGCAACTGGTTCAGGATTTTGCCCAAGGAGAACTGGAGGAAGTAATTCCCGAACCCTAGCACCTGGGGTAGGATGTTCTGCATGTCGTAGCTGCCTAAAAATACAAGATGCATCATTAATCCATCGCTCTGAAAATTCATAAAACCATAGACGTGCGACCAAACTCAGGTGATTCTCACCTGCACCGTCTCGTTGGATGTCGTGATAATCGGTCGGCGAGAGTTTCGGCAAGATCGGTAGGAAGGTGTTGTTGTTCGCCGCGAGCAAATCGACATCTCGATGGGCCTGCAGAGGTTGTTGCGACTTTTTCGGGCCCCTGTCCACGCTGCCGATGGAGGCCTGCCTGGACTTCTTCAGGTTGACTATCAAACACTTCTTTGACGTATTGTGACTCGAATAGGAGCCCGAGTGAGAAAACCTCTTGCCGCAGTTGGAGCATTGAAATGGTTTCTCCCCGCTGTGAATGCGGAGGTGTTCCTGAAAGCATCGATTTCGCATTGGCGAGCGTCCTAGGACGTACCGGAGTAACGAGAGTCTCGGAACAGCCTCTCTTCGCCGCCATCTATGGATCACTCGAGATGCCGTACCTTCAGATGATGTTTGAACTTGAAGGCCCTCGCGCAGTGCGGACATTTGAATTTTCGCAGCACGGCGCTCTCGTCGTGGCTGATCATGTGTCTCTGTAGTCGGTACACGTTGGCGAATGTTTTGCTGCAGACTTTGCACGACTGTTAACAAACGTTAAGTATCAATTGACCGTCTCCAAGTTTTCTCAAACTCGATCGGCGAAGGATTCTTTATGAAAGGACCAATATATAGTCCGTAGAGGGCACGCCTCGACTTACAACTTGGGAGAACTGAGCCGTCAGGTCGTTCTTGTCGATGCTATAGGACGTCTTGTGGGTGTCTTCCAGATGGAGCTGCAGGACGTGTAAGTTTCGACAGAGGATACCGCATTGGGGGCACCTCTCGGGCTGCTTAGCCGATGCCCCTTCGGCCCCACCACCGCCCCCGCCGCCGGTTCCACCGGTTCCGCCCGTTCCGCCCGTTCCGCCGCCCGCCTCCGAGTCCGCACCTGTCTCGTCCTCGCTGCACCCTGGAAGATCAAACGTTCGATGTCCAGACGGTTGGGCAAGGGAGGGAGGAAGGAAGGCCCCGCCATCGAGGAGGCGTAGCCTCCTTAGGGATCGCAGGGCTAACGACCGCGTCCCTCCCGAGAAAAAAGGTCTTGGCCGCCATTCCGGGACTCCGCGACGCGCCGCCATCTTTACTAATCACCGACCCTCCGAGAGTTCTAATCTTCGGCCGTCGTGCCTTCTAGTCCATATATCCCTGGACCGAGTTTCGTTTCACTCCAATACAACTTAGAAAATCGGTAAGAAAGGTCTTACAAACATTTTTACTCTGTTTTTAACCGAGTACCAGAGGTTTAAAAAAAAAAACGGTCGAAAAAAGCCAAGCAGCGCAATGGCGCTTTCTGAATAGGATGCGAAAAGGTCTTGGCCGCCATCTTTCCTAATCACCGATCCTCCGAGAGTTCTAATCTTCGACTGTACCAGAGGTTTTTAAAAGAACACGGTCGAAAAAAGCCGAGCAGCGCAATAGCGCATTCCGAATGAGATGCGAAAAGGTCTTGGCCGCCATTCCGGGACTCCGCGACGCGCCGCCATCTTTCCTAATCACCGACTCTCCGATAATTCTAATGTTCGACCGTCGTGCCTTCTAGTCCATTTATCGCCGTACCGATTTTGTTTCACTTCCATAAAACTCAGAAAATCGGTAAGAAGGATCTTACAAATATCTTTACTCTGTTTTTAACCGTTTGAGTACCAGAGGTTTTTAAAAAAACAGTCGAAAAAAGCCATGCAGCGCAATAGCGTGTTCCGAATGGGATGCGAAAAGATCCGAGCGACGCGATGGCGCTCCTTTTATTCTCTGGCAAAAAATTCGTCTGAAAATGCGTCGGGAAAGTTGAGCGCGTATCGTCAGATTGTGAGTGCGCGATCGATTGTCGGTATCGTTCAAATGCCCTGGGTTTTTTCGACATGAAATCTGAAGCGCGCGAAAGCGGCGCGTGGGACTCAAATGATTAATTACTTAAATACTAATTACATAAAGAAATTAGCTTATTAGGCTCTACTCTCTCCCCATTTCGTCCCCATGGGTCCATATGAACGGGCTGATAGTAAATTACATGAAAATTATGGAAGACGCGATGGGTAAGCCCTGTACGGGATTATAGCACCTTTACTCAGCTCCCCACTTATACTTTTCTACCGTCAGAATGTGTAGGTACGTCGTAATGAATTTCTAGATTTCCAGAGGGATTTCGTGCGGGTAGAAATGTTGGCGATATCACTTTTGCCTACCGAGGCAGAAACGGCTCGCCTCGGAGAGCGATAAAGGCAGACGCGGATACCATTATTTCGGAATGACAGGTAAGCCGAGGGGGCCACACCGCCAAATGTGACAATTCCACGTCCACCCTCGTGCGCATTCGACTCCCGTGCCACGTGAACGTGCTTTAGCCCTGCGAATCCCGGGGACGCAAAAGGGGGTCGTCGAATCTCGGGGCATTGTTCCCATCGGCCACCCCGGATGCGCAATGTCAATGCACACGGTGGGACGAAAGTGGCACATGGCAGGGTCGGCCAACCCTGCCTAACTTTTCGGCCCCATTGTGCCCCGTGAATTTCAATGATTTACCGTTCGCCAAGGTGATTAGCAGGGGAACTGGATCGGCTCGATGGCGAAACCTCGAGACATTAATCGAATAGAATTATCTCGAGGCATGGATCGAACGGATGACCCAAAACCTCGATTAGACTCAATACGAAGACCCGCAAGATGACAAAATCACAAGTACGCGTACTTCATCACGATACAAATAAGACAAGGTGTACCAATCGATAAAACTACAGCGCCAGATGCGAACTAAACGTAAGGGAGATGCAATAAAAAAAAGATAATTCATAAATAGTAACATTTCCCCCCATTTCATTTCAGGTGCTACATGACTTTAACAAATATCTAGGCATTTATCAATTTCGAAAGCACAATTAACTCGCTATTGATACGTGTAAATGAACCTCTGCTAAATTGCAGAATGACGGCGTCTCGAAAGGGTAGTAAAAAAAATCAAAGTAAAAGAAATAAGTAACTTCGACAGCCGAGTTTCGGTGTCTTTCATCTCTCTTTACCATTATCCAAGATGGCCGCCGGTGGACTCAGGTAGGCACGGTGATAAAGCCTCGACGAGGAGCCCTCTCCCATGAGACCGTCCCTCCCTAAATGCCTCTCGAAATCGATTAAATTTCAGCGAAATCGAGCGAAGAACAAGCGAGATAAAGCCGAGCAACGGGCGTTCCGAAGTCCATCTCTCGTGGAATTATGAATGGCAAAAAGTTCGCGCGGCTCCTCGGCGAGATGCCCCTTACCGTGAGGCGAAGGCGTTATCGCGTCTCTACTATATGTCACAAAACGGTAAACAGGACTTTACGTGTGTTCTTCATTTTTTCCTTTAACTAAACGTTTTATACGCGCGAGAGCTTTACTCCGGGTCGCGTGTGTCGAAATAAATCATGGAATTGACCGATCGCGTTGTTTACGCCGTATGCGCCGTCCCGCCGAAGCCGAAGGTGATCGTCTCCATTCCGCTCTTTCGGTGACCGTAACGGTCGTGCCTCGCGACTCGCGCGCCATCTTTGACGACCCAAGAAGCGGGACCAAAATGGCCGCCGTCAGTGCCGCCCCTTTTCTTCGCCTTTCTCGCCAGAAATCGGACAAAGGTACAGCGGAAACGAGGAGTTCCTCCTTGCGCGGCAATTCGCCTCTCCTCGCTAACGCACTTTGCCCGCTCCGGGACTCGATAAGACGTTGAAACAGGTCAGAGCCGTGAACCCTCCTGCCTTCCTACATCCGTGACTCCGATTGCTTCATCGCTTACACCTAGTCGCCTCATTACGCACGCATGTGCGTTTTTTACGAACCCTCCGGAAAACACGCCAGTGATTGGCTACGTACACGGCCCGACGTAAATATCGGGCCGATAATGTGCGATATGCCCGACCCGACTTGCCGATTCAGCTAAATCATCGTGAGTAGGAAGAGTCAGGACAATAAATGACCTTAGAGGAAAAAGCGCAGTTTAGAATTCATAATCTCGTAATAAGAATACCGAGATACCCCGAGCATACGTGTTCCTCCAGTTTCCTCGAACCTGGTGTTTACCAAAGTCCCCCTGTCATTTTTTAAATAACCGACGTTTACGTGCGAAACGATTAACCAGCGTCTAGATACTGTATTCGGAATGCAATTAGGAACGCAATATGATCTCGTAATCAAAGGAACTTGACTCTCAACATGATTTTCGCTCGTTATGGACCCCGTCGATTATCGTGGCAGCGAGCCCTTCATTCATGGCGGCATGGTTGCTATCGCGAGCTCGTGAAGAAATCGGCACGTCGTATCGTTCTACCCGACAGGGCCTCTCCTATCTGCGCGCGTCCGAGAACCGACAAGGGAACGCGGTTAGATCGGAGTCCCGCAAGACGCGTCGGGTGTCGCACAGAGCACGGCGCGCCAACGCCTCAAGGATAAACAACCAATCGGAATTATGCTTAACCTCGTGCGTCACTTCCGGCACAATTCTGATTGGTTCCTTGTCTTCGACGCGTCTACGCGCCGCGTCCATTCCTCCGGCTATTCAACGTCGAGATTGGACAACTCAAATACCGTAGATAATTGATGTAGTTTTTTTTTTACAGTAAATTACTAGATATTTTACTTAACAAATTTCATTCGTGACGTTAATTACATGAATATGGGTCTTTGTTTCTGAAGTTCCTATTTCTGACATGCTTAAAATTAAAAATTTGCTCCTATTTGCTATTATTCTTTATTCCTTTCTCTTTTTTTTTTATTAGGTATTTTACTTGGATTTTATGTTAAATACTTCCCTTACGTATTTTGTGTAAAAAAAAAAAAACACCTAGAATGACGCGTCACTGCGCTATCCCGCTCGACGCTCAAGCTGATAGCTGCTTTTCGACGTTAGCCGCAGCGATAGGATCCACCTATTATGGGCATTTTCCCTGGCCAATCAGCGTCGCTGATGCCGTAGCGGCCAACCAATCAGCGCCGCCTGTGGCGCATCGACCAACCAATCATTTCCGCGGATGGCGCAGCGGTCGACCAATCGCGTGGCCTCCCGCGGGACGCGGTGGATGCGAACTCGCTCGGCCATGTGATTAATTACGCCGTCTCGGGGCGGAGATGGCTATCTCGCTCCCGATGCTCTCGGGTGACGTCAACGGAATGTGGAAACGAACCTTGCGAATTGCAAACAATGAAAAGCTCGCCTCGAAAACCGTCGCGATTGGAAAGGGACCGATGCGAGCCGGACCAAAGTGGGTACGCTCAATGTCAGATGTCCTTGTCTAACTACACTTTCTCAATGGCGATGGGAAAGAAGCATAAAAGTGGAGGAGCATAGATTGCGCGTCCCCATGGATAAAGGGTATTGTTGGAACCCGGGTTCCGGGAATAAAGGGAAAGGTAACGTATTCCGACCTCTTCGGCCTTTTCCCGAACGGCCGCGATTGGCTGATTGCTTCCAGTCCGAAATCGTGCCAGCTAATCACGGTTAGCGAGGAAGGGACGGGTAGATGTGCATGTCACGAAATGATAAACGACGATTCGGACGAGAATCGTTGATTATTCGGAACTCTAGAAATCCCCCAGCTCCAATGCCGAGGGATTTATGCGCGGAAAAGTACATCTATCGAATAGTTCTAAAGATACGGAGTGACGTACGAAAAGAACCATCAATGACCGAACGCTCCTTTCCTTTTGCATTTTTTTTTCTTCTTTTTTCTTTCTTTTAATTCCGATATAACCTCGTTTCAATTGTGCCCGATTCTCCCAGCCACCAACGAGCGTCCACCACTGCCGAGCTTTGGCCGTCTTGGGAGTACAAGGATTCCGCATCCCATTGACGACAATTGCCAATATCGACAGCTGCATCTCGTACAACCACGAGCCATCAACGAGAATATATAGAAATGCATCGTATTTGTCTCGCAGCCTCATAACATATACCGGTACTTATCGGCGGGAATGCGTACAATGTTCGGCCGATAAAGCGCCTCGCCTTTAATAATCCATTAAACAAGGCCTGGAAGAATCTTACGAGAATGATAAATCAGAGGCGCGGTAATAAATTCGACGTTAAATCCTAACCACGAGCTAACCGATGACCGATAAGTTTCAACATCGAAAGCAAGTTCCTCCGCTGGTATATACATGTTCCGCGATTCCGTAAGTTTTCATAAAAACAAAAAAAAAAGAAGAAGAAAAAGTGCGAGAAACCTCAGCACCCCGAAGATCCATCTCTCCGCAAGGCGGGTATAACCCCTCGCTAGAACAAAATGGCCGCCGCGCTTACGTCACCCCGGGAGTCGGATTAGCCCGTAAAAGGCAAGTCAGGGGGCAAAGCCAGGGGTGCGCACGGGTCTCCACATGCGCGTTTACGCGCACGAGTCTCCACATGCGCGTTTACGCGCACGAAGCGAAATACGAAAATCGGTGAAAAGCAATGCCCTACCCCAGAAGATTCACGTGCAGAGAGCCGCGTCGCAAGGTTGCCAGCTCGGGCGGCGTGGCCCTGCCCGTAAAAGAAAAATGGCCGGGCCCGCTTACGTCACCCAGTGGGCGCCGGATTAGCCGTTAAAAAAGGCGCGTAAAGTCGTCGCGGGGCACGCGCCCGGCCACGATGTGTGCCCCGGTTACCGCGGCGTACGCGCGGTCTCCGCATATCTGCGCACTAAGCGCACGATACGCGTCGTACGCACGACGCGCGATACACGGGGCACGGTGCACATAATGGCCGGCGTTCCACGGCCCCGGCGTGGGGAAGATCTCCGGCCACGCGCGCGATCTCTGGCGCGTGAAGTAAATGATTTCTCGGAGAGGTCATTGAGCCTGTCGGGGCGCGGCCGCCATTGGCTGGCATGTCCGAGCGCCGACGACCCGCCGCGCGGGGCCGCTTCTTCTTCGCCTTTCCCCTGGAGCGCCGATCGGAGCGCCCCCCGGCAGCCAATCGGCGCGGCTCGAGCCGCGCGGCCCACAGGCCGATGCACCTGTCGTCGCGCGAGCCCGCGCGCTCCGGCCGCCCCCGGCAATTACGTCGAATGCCTCGGAACCCGCATTTACTACCTCGACGAAGGTCCGAGTCCTGGGGAGAGCGATGCCAGAGAATTGCCCGCCGACTCGACTCCATGGAAACGTCCGCGGAATCCATCCACTTATTTATTTGACATTCCTAAATTAAAGGGATTCTTTTCAAGCGCTCGCGGATGGCCGGCATTAACGCGCGCGGGGAATTTCTCGCGTCGGGAGACCTTTTGCCCGAGAAGACGGAGACCGGGGCTTCTTCGGTATTTAAATGGGATTTAGATTAATGTTAATACGCTCGCATGCGAGGAGAGAGAACATATCTCACATTTGATGGGTATTAACACGTACCGCGTCACGTGTACCACCGATAATACGCGTTAACCTCGGCTGGTACACGGCGTGGCACGGGACGTGTTAAAGAGAGATTTAAGGAAATGATTTTTGCCGATCAGTGGCAACGATCGGGGTGTTTCGCGTTAGCTCTACTTTTAGATAGATCGAACCACAGATATCGTTAAGTACGGACATTCGCGTCCATCGGCATAGCTTATCGAACGCTTCAAGGAGGGGGGTCAGAAGTGATCATACATTATCGTAAGACTCGAAAGGAAAAAGAAGACACATGTTATTTAGTTCATAGTGCGAGGTCATCGGGAGAGAATGTTAATCAGAGGCGGTTCACAGCCGCGTCAACATTCTTGAAACGGTTAGCACTCTTTAATTTGCCGATAAAAGAACACCGAGTCGTTTTTGCACCGATTTGTGGAAGCGCCTTATCGCTTGCCGAGTTTTGCCTTTTTTCGGGGTTACCTTACCCCCCTCATTAAACGCTGTACTGGTGTCAACGAGTGATAAGAAAGTGCCACAAAGTAGTGCGCACATCGGAGTTTACATAACCTTTTCGAGTTCGTTTTTTCCTTCCTTTTTATTGCGCGCCACTCCTTGGGGCTAAATTTCACCGTCAATCGATCCCGCTTTTGTGTCGAGACGATCCATCCAACCGAATTAAGCGACTGCCCAATAGAAACAATACCGATCTAAAAGTCATCTCGATATAGGAAGATAAGTAAAGAATAAAAAATTAAACAATAACAAAATTCCCCGTACAATGTTTGATCGTCAAAACATTTCGAACATCTTTCTGCGATCAAGAGGCGGCCGCTGCGAGTGTTTGTAGAAATAACAACCGTGCAGTACTCTCTAGGCTACATTTTCCTACATCACGTTGATAACCTTATTGGAGTAAAGTTCAATTCTCATGTTTAATTTTTTCTACGCGAACAAATCTCCTAAGATATTCCGATATCTTGGAAAATATCTCGGCCTACACCTTGAGCAACGTTTCTTGGCCCGCGAGTGATGAGGTCCCGACTTTCTTTGACTCTCGATCCGCGTTCCTCGAGGGTCGCCAAAAATCGTAGAAACGTTTACGAGCCATTTCTCGCGCCGCGGGAGAGCCTCCGCGTTCTAAAAACAGCGGCGAGTCTCCGGAAGCACGAGCGAATCGTAAAGACCTTAAGGTGAAGTGAAACGCGTCGAGGAGCTTGATCGACGTCGATGAAGATTTTTCTAAATACCTACGTTGCCGATATTCGATTTATATTGACAGCCGTGTAGAATTATATTGAGTATTGCACTAAATGGCATACTCCACCCGTCGTTTTCGTACAATAATTATAAAGAAATCGAAGTAAAACTCTAGAAATCTTCTGGATTCATGCTATCTGGGGCCCTAATTGACTGCAGAGGGACCTTCTGTGCCATCTGTGATTTGCAGGTCAATTAAATCTTCACTCCGAGACCTCGTATTCCCATCGTTTTGGCATACAAGCGCATACAACACTTGTTTTGCCTTTATCCCGTTCAAATGCGAGTTTATTGATTACCACAGTGTTCTAAATTGTCGTAAAATTATCCCGACCCTTTCATTTCTCATATTAGAACCTTCGATAATTGTATATTGATCGAAATATGATCGAGCTCGACGCCATTTTGGTTTTCGTCTGGGCTGATATAAGAAATTCTTTCCAAAAATCCAAATTTTCAATGTCTCAGGACAATTCTTGGATGATCACGAGCCATGGGTCAAAGTTTCGGACAGTTTGGTCCAATACCCTTAAAGAAAAAAAATGTATTCGAATCCACTGATTTGAAGGGGGTTTCATTTCACCTTAAGACCGGCCGCAAAGATTCATTTGGACACGGGAACGCTCGTTCGCAAGGTATATTAGTCCCCGATTGAGTCGGGTTCTCCTTGGGTCGGTATTGCGGGCCGACATTGTATGCGAGGCAGGAAGCTGCGCGACGTGTGTAACGCGACTCGCGCGATACTAATTACGAGTAACCGTACACCCCTTCTGCGAAACGATGTGTTTTAACAAACAATAAATGCCGTGTCCCAAGGAGAAACGACTAATCGCGCATTTGGAGTCCCCACCGGGAGTTTCGTGCCTTTTTCGAGCACCAGGGTGTTTTATTTCCCGTGACGGTATAAAAGTGTACGACCGGGCAAGAAGTTCGCGAATTCGTAGCTCCACGGAGAGCGGTTAAAATAATTCGCGACATTTTCACCCGACCCGTTCCCCCGTAACTGCATCCCTGAGGTGTAAATATAATATCTCCCTAATGCGTTAAATGTATATTAATATATCTAACCTAAATGAATATATCTATCGTTAAATGTATATTAATATATCTAATCTAAAATAATAAATCTAACTAATGCGTTAAAAATACTACGAAATCATAATATATCGGTGCGTGACCGACACGCGGGTCGGAAGTGAAACTTCCAAGCCGAAGACAATTACCCAGATATCCTGAACTATTCTTAATTACGCGTTAAACTATTCTACCTCGAGATGCCCTTACCCTATGCGCGTAATTATCATCTCTCAAGTACCCGCTTCCTTCATTTCAAATGTCAACGATTCAACTGAAAGGAAATAATGGAATACACCGAAATTGTACTAATACCGAGACACAAAGAAGGTAAAGGGTAATGAACCGTAAACCGTACAATTAACATTCACTTTTCGTAGAGGGTCGCTGTCGTATCCTGCGACCTTCCTACCGTGCCGTGAGATTTCAGCTAAAAAGGGGCAATACCAAATAGGATAGGTAAGTCTTAGAGAAATATCATCCGCGTTCGCGATACCACATTCTTTGTGGAGAGTCAACCGCTTATCGATTCTCCGGAAAGGAGATGCGTCGAAGACGTTCTCGTGATCCGGTGGGAACGGCCACACTCGAGGTACGAGCGGAGGAGCCGCATGACATTGCGCAGTTGTCTCGTGCGAAAACAACTCGACATCGAGAGTTTAAGCGAGATCGATAGAGGCAGCCTCTCCTTCCTGTGGCGAGGCTTCCTCGTGTCTTCCAACGAACCGCCTAACGGCCTCCTCTCCTTCCTGTGGCGAGGCTTCCTCGTGTCTTCCAACGAACCGCCTAACGGCCTCCTCTCGGCGGCGCGATAAATCTCTCTCCTTCGAAATGCCCGAAAGGTCCAAGTCCTTCGCTTCGTTTAACTTTATCGACTCGTCCCAGGAAACGAGAGAGAGCGAGAGAGTGAGAGAGTGAGAGAGAGGAGCGGGAACGCTCGATATCGAGGCACCGCTATTTAAGAGCCCGTCAATTACGGGCCACTTAAAAAACCTCCATACGTGGATCGACTCGGAAAGGCTGGCCAGCAGCCTCGGCCAATTTCTCCGCGACAGGGAGCAATGGCGAGCCAAATTCCTCTGCCAACCTCGAAACCGATATACGGGTAAAAAAAACGTTTTAATTAATTAAAAAAAAAAATCACACGGGGTAAAATCCTCCGACGGAAGGGTTTTTTCATTTCCCCCGTCCTAACCGCGGAAATTCAAAATGGCGGACCACCTGGAGGCACCTGCTCTGGAAGCGATCCAGGTTTTCGCAACGACCCGACAATGTTGACCACAATCGAGTTGGCCGCCTACGAGGAAAGGTGTCCACTCGCAAAAGGTGCCAAAACTTGAAAGAGATTCTAGGACACCGCATTGATATCCACCGCGTGTACGGGTGCAATCGGAAAATCCGCGTGAAGGGATAGTTAAGCGGATTGACGAGGCCGCGTCAGGTGTGATGGTTTCTTGGAACATTGTATGCGCTCGCCCCAAGGGTAGGTAAACGCGAGGCGACCGGGAAAAATCTCCCCACGACACTCGCGAGTGTCGGGCGAATTAATATCGGGACTATCCCCGAATTAGCGCGACATTTGTCGAATCCAAATATAACCGAGGATTCGCCCCGAGAGGTGTCCGTCCCCCTCCGCCGAGCCGAAAGGACAAGGGCAAATTGTGCGAGTGAGGCACCTCCACCTTTTCCCAAGGATTAAAATACACGAAGCGCGGCGAACTCGCGGGCAGGATTTTTCTTTTTTTTTTTCCTTCCCTCGACATCCCCCACATATCTGGGCAAGTTTTCTGCATCCGCGATGCGGTTCACCCCCACGTGTCGGTATCGGGCAGCCTCGACGCCAGGATATCGCTGCCGTGAATCACAAAGAGACTCGAGACTCGTCACCGAGAAGAGCGAGTCTCTCGCAGAATCCACGACCGTCGAGGGTACCTCGGGGGCTATCGCTGAACAATTTGCGTCATCGATCGGTAATTGGCGACGAGAAGAAAAAAAAAATAAAAGAATCTCAGATGACGTCAAGCGCTCCAGCGTCTCTTCGACGCACATCCTCGCAAGATCTCTCCCAGTGCCGAGACAATATTTTCACCTATTAAGAACTAAAGACCTCCGTTTATCAAAACACCTTCCGATCGTAAACCCCCCTCTCAAGAACAATCCCATAAAACGTTCATACAACCCCCATGTATCGTTCAAATCATATAAAACCCGCCCGATTACCCTAAATCCTGTACCATTCCCAGGACACCTCGAAACGCTACGCCGAAAATCCATCGCCACAAGTACGAGGGCAGAAAAACCCCGAAAATTTCCCGTGTACCTTTCAAGGAGGTTGCGCCCTCACCTCGGGTGTCCGACCGGTGGCGAGGGCGTCGCATATCTCGGTGCCTACTCACCTTTGAACGCGTCGCGGACAAGAGTCATGCTCATATTCGCGGGGGTGGGTCCAGTCGGCGCGTGGGTGGTCCCCTAGGAGGGTCGGGGTCCCTTATCGGAGTGGTCCGAGAGTGGCGACTCGCGTCCTAGGGCATCCGGGGGCGCAGCGGCAGCGGCAGCAGCAGCAGCAGCGGGGACATGGCCCGGTGGTCGGCGGCGGACGCGGCGGCGTCGGATCGACCGCGCCGGAGGCTGGCGTCGTCGGGGCGCGCTCCTCGTCCCGCGTCGGCGGCGACGGCGGCGGCTGCGGCGCCCGTCGTCGCGGCGCTCCTCGCGGAGGCGACGCCGCGCTTGGCGGACATCAACGGCGCGCGCGCGCGCGCACGACTCTCTTCGTCTCCGTCCGTCTCTCCCGGCTCGTTCTCCTGTTCTCCTTTAGCGAGGGGATGGAGGGAGAGGATGAGGGGGGGAGAGGGAAGAAGGGATTACGCGGGGGGGTCGAGTTTCACCTGCAGGAAGCGCGGCGTAGGGTTGCCGTCACGGGGTGCGCCCTCGGGCGGCGCATCGCGTCGCCGTCTTCGCCGTCTCCGCCGGCGTCGCGGTCCTTCCGGCGCTACGACGACGCCCGTCGTCCCGGCGGCGTCGAGAGGCCCTCGGCGTCGGCACGGCTCGAGCATTCACGCTGCCGCGCGCGGCCCTCTCCTCCCGCCGACTCCGGCCTCCGGCGCGGCGTCGCCGGGCCTCGGCGTCCTCCTCGTCGTCGCTATCGCCACCGCCGCCACCGTCGCCACCGCCGCCGTCGCACCGCACGCACGCACGCACCCGCGCGACCCCTCACCCCGCGCGATCGCGCGCGCTCGCGACTCACCCAGCCTCGAGACCGGAGGAGAGAGAGAGCACCCGGATATATCAACCGGAGAGTAGGAGCGGGCCGGGCCCGGTCGCCAGGAGGTCGCCGAAGTCGAGGATCGGGAGGCGAGCCGCTCCACCGCCGGGCCGGACTACTTACACACGTGGGGACCGAGCGGGACTAAAGCGCAGATCCCGTGCTATAGAGCTCGGGAGGATGGATGGTGATGGCGGCCGCAGCGGCAGCCACCGCCCCCGTGCGCGCTCTCCTCGTTCGGTCTCTCTCTCCCTCCCTCCCTCTCTACCTCTCGCTCGCTCACGCTCGCCGCGTCCACCTCCCCCGCAGCGAGCACGCCCCTCCGCCGCGCAGCCGTACGCCGTCGCTCGCCGCTAGGGCGACTCCACCACTCCCGCGCCGGAATGCCCCTACCTGGCGGCGAGGCATCGCGCGACCACGCGCCGCCGAGCCAGGGACGTGTCGCGAGCCCATGCCCGGGCGCGTCTCCCGAGGTCCTGCCGGGAACCCAGACACTCTTTCCAACGGACCTCGCGGCTAAGAACGGAACGCGAGTCTTACAAAGTATGGAACCTTGGATGGTACTAAATTCTCGGAAGAAACAAGTGGCCCGGGGCTGCGTCCCATGTGCGTCCCGCGGCCCCCACGGAGCCGAGCTTCTCGACTCCGCGGCTTTTTTTACATCCTAGGATAGGAAACTCGACCGATCTTAACTCTGCTCTCTTGCTTTACTTTTCCCTCGTCTTATGTACATACCTAGAGGGGCGAGTCGAGGCGGAGCAGCCTGGGATTCCAGCAGCGGGAGTCCGCGATGGCGGAGCGTCTTATCGCCTTTGTTACCGGAAATTTTGATAGGCGCGCCTTCCTCTCCCTGGCGGTGTATCTGCGGGCGATAGATTGCGCGTTATTAACGATATATTTGTCTAGTCGGGCTGGTCGACCGACTTCGGGGAGACGGGGACGCGGTTTACGCGTAGCTGAAAGCTGCCGTTGTCCCGCGCGACCAGAGGCGCCCGTTGGCTCGTGTTAACTCGAAAGGTTAAATTCCACCGGGCACTTAACTCCGCGTTCGTCGCCGACGATGCGTTCCCCTCGTCGAATCTAAATGGTATTCCCGCTTTTGCCGCTCCCGCGGGCCTACGTGGAAATTATTTTATTCCCCGGTTTTGCCGGCGGAATCGCGCGTGCTCGTGAAAATGTAAAACATCCCACGGTGTGCACTCCTAAATGCAAATCGGGCCGAGATATTAATGCCGCCTCGTTTCGTCCCGAAACGTTTCCCATTTGCCGTCGTAATTCCGAGCGATCGCAATTGTTCGTTTCGACACCCCTTAATTGTTTTTCCCTGGGCATGTAAACAGACTTCTTTCTTGCGCAAACTGCGTCGTTGACTTCGGGACCTCGTCCGACGTAAACTTGCGACCGTGCCGGCGCCTATTTTACGGATGTAGTGGTGAAACGGTTTCGCAACACCTTTGGTTACGATTACCGATGGGAGAATGGAGCGATACAGATGAGGAAACCGTTGGCCACTTATCCACCCGACGATAGGACTTCGAGGAAAGAACCCACTCGATCGACGCACTTTCCGTTCGCGGTTGGACTAAATTCTAAATACGTCCCCGAATTAAAAAAATCCCACCTGTGCTCTCAAATTATATCTGTAACATCAACCATTATTCCCGCCGCCTCGTAGGGAAAATTCGGTATTAACAAAAAGTCATTGTAAAATTACGATAAAAGGCGTAAATGTTGGCGACGTTTAGAATTCCGGGTAAAATAACGTCTCCCCGAGGCAGTTCGAAAATTGGATCGAGGCCAAATCGAGAATCAACAAATCTGTGCCGAAATAATATTTCCTTTACGTGAATTTCATGTGGTAAAAGGTTCAAGATCGAACATCGTTTTCGGATATTGTGTAAATGATTTTGTAGTTGTATTAAAAAATCTAACGTATTGTTCTCTACGAAACGGACTTAAATGCTTTGCGTAGGGCGTCTTAAACTCCAGACCTCGTAGAGCTCCCCAATCGAGCGCTTCCAATCAATGTAGCGATCTCGAGAGAAAGAGAGAGAGCTCGCGAGGGAAGCCTCGGCTAGACGGAGAAAGATGGAGGGCGCTCGCGGAGGTAACGTCCGACACTATTATTAGTAAGCAGCTGCCGGTGAATTAGTGAATGAACCGAGAGGGCCACTGCGCGAAACAATGCGAAAGGAGGGCAGCGCAAGCTACGAGCGCGCGCGCCGCCTTCTCGGCGAACTCGTGCGCACGTGCGAGCGCCGTTGCGTCCTCCGGAATCCGCGCATCAAAACAACATCCGAGGACAAAGAGATACGACTTTATAAGGAAGAGCAAAGGAACTCACCGTCCATCCAGTCCGCCTAATCTACCTCATCGGCGTCTTTCGTGGCACTTCGACACGACTCCTTTGCAGCGACCTTCTCAAAAATAAACCATACTTTTGCTCAGCCTGGATACCCTTCTTTCCTGTGCAAGAAAAAATTATTTCCACCAATAAACTCAAATATATTACGCTCTGCATAAATTTAGATAATTTAAATCGACCCACCTTGGTAGGGGTACGACCTCGAACTTTCTGGAAGTTACACGGTCCTTTGGTGTTCCTGTAAAGTATAAGTGCAAGTAAAGTCATTACGGGGAACATATAATATATAAATATAGACAGAAATGAAGAGAACGTTGGTGCGTCGTACCAGAATCCTGATTAGTCTTCCGCGTATCCGAGTTTTTTGAGAAAGTATTCGATATTCTAACGACGAGTCGGTCCGAGACCTTTGTGTACGCAATGCCGAGAAGTGAGCGGGATGAGCGGTGGAGAAAAACGAGTCTAGGCAGCGCAGCATCTTCACGGTGCCCCGGCGTCTCCCCGGAGAGCCGGCCCTGCCAATGGCGGCGCTCCGGTCGGCGGCGGTCCAGCAGCGGCGCGCGGCGATCTCGACCGAGGGGGCCCGAAGATCGCCGAGTCCGCCCGAAGGTGAGTAGCCGCTGCGCGGCGACCGAGAGAGGGAGGGCGCGGGTGGGAGGAAGCGGCCTCCAGGTGGGAGAGGAGCAGTCGGCGTCGGGACGCCGCAGCGGGGGAGGGGGCCCCCAACCGCGGCGATGCCGCTTTTTGTTGCCGCCCATTAGGCGCCGCGGCGCGGCGGCGTGATTCGCAACTCTGTTTCTTTATCTCGGCACCGTACCGGTGGTGTCGCGACTGATTCCGAGACAACGACTGCCTGCGATCTTCGCTCTCTTTCTCTCTTCTTCCCTCTCGCCCTCTCCCGGTGCTTGCGTCTCCATCTCCCGCACTCACCCGCGCTTTTTCTCCTCCCTTCTTCAGGCCGATCTCTCCTACACGGACAATGCAGAGGGACGTGAATCACCCGCCGTGCGGCTATGACGCGCCTATGTACATATAACGATAATGGCAAAGATACGATGTATCCGGTAGGACGAGTGTAAAGTCCTCGGGAGACGAGGTGGATTTAGACTACCTACCGGAGTCGGTGGACGATTTCGATCGGGGGCGAGACCTTGGACCAAAGGAGTAAGTACAAAACCGAGAACTTGGAATGTTTCTTGGACAAAGATTCCAAGTTCCGATACGGTCTCGATCGAGGCAGTAAACGGTTTCCACCCAGTTTCGGTCAGGCCTCGCCGTTGGGAGTGATTTAGGGTCCACGTAAACTGAATGAAGAGCCAAGACCCGGAAAAAAGGAAGAAATTCCCGTAAGACGACGACCGGAATAAGTACGATATATTAGAGCGGCGCCCATGTATTTCTTTTCGAGCCCGAATTCGGTAGCGCTCGGTAACAATTAAGCCTTCTCTCCTGTCGCTAATTTCCAGACCGGCGAACGAGCTTGACGGACGTGTGTACCTTGCGGAAACAATGAGCACCTTCAGCCGGCTATTTTCGACGTGTCTTCGCCGGTGGAGGCGAAAATCTCTTTACTCTTCTCCACCCCCTGACCGACGTCATCGGGCAAATATTTTCCCGGGTACGTTCAATCGAAAACGTGCTTTGTTTATAATCGCCGGGTTTATTCCTGATTAGTCTGCAAGTTCGGCGTTCCGAGTCGAGGTCTAAGAAGGATATGACTCCGTTTGAAGTTACAAAAGCGACTCGCTGATGGTGTACGTGGGAAGTTTCAGGTTCGCTTCGCACTTTGACCAGCCTCGTGTACCTATGAGACATCCAGAAGCGACATCGGGGTGGAAACGAGAAGGCAAGGGGCGGCGATCGCAAACGGAACCTCGGATAGGCAAGCCTATGACGCATTCTCTCGGCGACCTTTGACCCTCGGCGTTGCCTCCACCTCGCTAGGTGCGCCATCACCGAGGCGAATGGCGGACACGCATAGGTGGCCGAAACCTGGCCGGATTCGTAAAACTGAAAGCTCCTGGACAAAAAGCCGACCTCTCGAACAACTGTGCGCCATGTGTGCGCCACTTGCGCTCTCCCTTCTCCTCCCCTCAAGCCAGGAGGCCCCACTCGACCTGACTTGGCCATCTCGCAACTCCCGCCCTCGCCCAGAGAATCCGGAGGACCGGAATTCGTATTCGGCACCTAGACCTGGGAACCCTCCTCGAAGGTATTTGTCCACATTTTGTCCTTGGCTCCGCTATTTCAGACTTTCGAAAATACGACTCGATGTGCCATCGAGTGTCATCTTTGTCCCATTGGTTTGTCATTTTCTTTCAGGTTTACTTACCGCTGATTCATTGCGTAGACCGAATGAAAAACTTGGCTGGTATACAGCGGTGACTTTGCCGGAGATAAGGCAACTATCTTTTCTATCCTTATCTTTATCCTTATGGGCAAGAGTCGCTTGCTTCTCTATTTGCGGAGAGATGGAAACGCAAAATGGAGTAGAATAATGCTCAATGCTCGGTAAATATTTACCGAAGGTTTCCAAACATCCACTACCGGTTGGCTTTCGTAATCCTTAACCTTAAGATACCTCAAATCGGGGGGATTTTCTTAATCCGCTTAACTGTAGTCGATGCATTTGTCGTTCTAAAATAACTACTTAGATTTGCGGTAGCAATTATCCCGATTCTAAATTATTTGGGTTTATGGCAGGGCGTCGTTCTACTACATTGATCAATTATTGACGAGGAGCCTTTTAAAAGTAGGATTTTTATGACACACGTGGGTAAGTTTTAACGAAGTACGACAGTCCGTCAAACTCTAAAGTTTATCTCACGATCCTGTCGATGGTATCAAGCGTTGCCTTTGATCTTTTGTAATTAATGTACCTAGACAAATATCGCGGTTAACCTTCAACCCTTTAAACCGTAGGGTCCTCTCCCAGCACTTTCTGAATCTGGAGAGCAGAGGCTCTTTCCTTGGCGACGTACCGCGACGATGTAATCAACTCCTCGACGAGCGCCAGATAGAGGGCATAGGTATTCGTTTCTCACAAGTAACGCAGTCAGAAAAACCGAGCAGCCCTTCTCGAGGATCTCCCGTGCATCGTAAATCACTCGTTCGGAATCGTTAAGTCTAGAGGAGCGGATGCAGGCGAACGATAAGTCGCCATCACGGAACGACCAAGCTCTATAAAAAACAACAGATACGGAATTTATCTTCCTATCAAGAGACCTCCAATCAGTCGGAGCACCACCGATTCTCCAATAAATCCCGCATGAAATGTCCACGGGACCATAAACGTTACATCTACATAACATTCCATTTGGCATGATCACGTGGGAAATATTGGTACATGCAATCCATACTTATCATAATGCATGATTTATGGCCATCGTGGTTATATATCTTCTAACTAAATTATTTTTATTCCTCGCAGGACTCCTAATGGCGGTACTAGGAGAGGAGGAGACCGTGTCCAAAGTGTCCAGGTGCAACATGCGGCAAACTCTCGATGCAAAAAGGGAAGCATCAACGCAAAGGTCGCAAGGGAGAGAGAGAGAGAGAGAAGCAGCTCTCGACCAGGCGAGTTTGCACGAAGCATGGACCAAGGGCCTCGGTCATGGTCGCCATATGGGCAGCAGCCCTGGGGGCTGTAAACGCGCACCTTCCCCGTATGCCCCGTATGCGGGCCAGATTTTCCGGCCTAGGTGCGCCGCCGACTCACGGACACGCGGCCAAAACAATGCACGAACGGCCCGGGGACACCTATGCGTGGCACACGCGTGCACCGCCATGGCAGGCCCCATGAGAACCTCTGGAACCGAAATCTCTCATCTCGCACCGACCCGAGTCGGGTGCAACACGAGGCGGCCTTCTGAACAAACAGAGCCGAGACTCGCGATACTAGGAGCAAATCGCCCGAGGATGCAGAGCGAATCTGCATCCTCGGATCTCTCAGCTGAACCTGAACGAGAGAGAAAGGCACGCTCGGATAAGAGTTAATTGGCATAAATATTTATTCGTGTATGGATCGGACGGACGAATCGGTTGCCTGGGATGAATTGAACCTCGAGGCCAGCTAATTTAAGGCAGTCTAATTGTTGGGTGCACGTATACGTGCCACACGGATTCGAAAGGTACCCCGAGATGGTTAAAGGGACCGCCATTTGGCCAGCTACGGGGATTTAAAGGGATAGCGGTTACGCATTTTGGGAAGGTGTGCACTGCAAAATGCTGCCACGGTGGCAATGGCTATTGGATATGCGGGGGGCCAGCCCAACGAGGGGAGCAAAGCTAAGCCAGTAATGCAATAACTTGAATAGATGCGCATGCACCCGGAAAGAACATAACCTACCCTCCGCATAGGTACATACGAGTGTATGCACATACGTGCTACGGACCAACGTGGAGCGACGAGGGTCGCTCGAGGGGATTCGTCCCGCGGGGAGGTACGTTCGTATTACAAGTACCTAGACTGTATTTGGGATACATGCGAACGTACCGGCACAAAGGATCTCTGCCGTAATTAATCTCCATATCGATCGACGTCCCGCAATCTGGATAGTCAAGGTTTTCTAATTAAAAAGAAATACCGATAAACTCTGACATACTGTAAGAGAGAAAACTCGCAAACGTAACATTTGTTGGAACATTAGGGCCAAGTGTTAAAATGAAGAATATTTTATTAAATCCGTCAAGCGCCGACCTCGAGATGGGAATGCACATTTAAATCGTACACCTGCCATGGTTGCTCTTTAAAAGCTCCGCACATGCTTTAAAAGGTACTTCCAGACAAATCGTTTTTGCCGCTGATCACGGCATCCCGGGACGAAGGGATGGTGGAAAAGTGAATGGAAAGATCGTAACTTCCACCTTCGGAGTAATAGTGCGTAAGTAACTCGAAAATATAGCGGCTCGCGCGAGGGTAAGGATTTTCAGTTTGTGGTCGAAAAGGGTCCACTATCATGGGACGTTCGGTTCGGCACTTGGAAGTCTCTAGTTAACCAGATACGCTGGACTCTAATTAACCAGACCGGCATGCCTGACCGTGTGCATAATGGTTTTATAAATTTACAGGTCGCCTTTACCATCCACTAGGAAGAACGGGAAAGACAATCGGGCGACGTCGGACCATCGACCCGCCGTAGACGGAGATCCGTAGTGGAAATATCGAAGCACGGTCGAGCCATAATAAGGGTGGCCAATCTACGAGCGAGAGGAGAGGAAGGCGCGTGCACGCGTGTGCACCCCGTAGGTCTCCTCGTAGGTTCTGTCCTAGGTAGGGTGGCTAGTGCTCACAGTCAAATAGAGAGAAAAAGACAGGACGAGCGAGCGAATGAATGGCTTCCAATCTGTTCCATCCCTTTGTGGAGCGGCTCGTGCCGCGTGTGCAAATCCACCCCTCCTTCGCCCCTGCACACGCCTCACACCTGAGCACAATGGCCAGCCGATTTCACCCTCGAGCTTCACCCTTCCCCGCCCGAGCTCGAATACTGACGCGCATAAGTACGCAAGGATTCGCCTATTCGCCTGTACAATCCGCGAATAGGTATGTACACGTACAATTATTCAGGCAACGTCCGCCTCTCGCTGTCTCTTTATGAGAAGCTACGCCTCGCTGCTCGCGCGCGAATTTCACGTCAGAAACGGAGGTGATTAAGCACGGCGCTTTTGTTCTTTCTCGCTGATATCGGACCCCGTGTTTTGAAAGGACCCTCCGCGGTCATCGGAAGCGAAGCCTTAAGGGGCTGTGAACGTCGAAGAAATTACACATTTTTGAGGCAGTTACGAGTCAAAATTAAAATTTTACCATGATTGAGGTACAGGCAATGGCTAAATAAAATTTCAATCCCATCCGTTCAGCAGTTTTTCAGGAATCACCTGCGACAGGTGCAAATAATTTTTTTCTACTACCCTACGTTTATAATAATAAGTAAATAAATATGTGCTTTTTACTGAAAACAAAAATTTTTCTCCATTCCCCTACGTTAGACCTTTCATGGGAAAAAAAGTTTGTCTGTGGCGAGCATAGCATATATATACATCAGAAGTTCTTACTTCTACATGGGCGTTCCATAACCCAGCGGTTACGCTCACCACTCGTACCACGTGGTCTCTCGGGTTCGACTCTCGCTCAGGAGAGATTTTTCGGAGCCTAAGGCAGGGTCTACCTGATAGTCTTACTGACGAGTCCCCAGGCAGACGTGGGACGAAACACAACAACAATGGGTATACACCTACATGATCTATAATGCCATTACATGCAGAGCTTTTTGAGGGAAAAAAAAAATGGTAAAAAATGTGTAATTTTTTCGACGTTCACGGTGGTATAGCCCCTTAAAGCGATGCGAACGTGGTATCTAAGGGTTCAGTTCTTCGTGAAACATTCCTGCGACCCATGTGTATGAAATCATTCAAAACCTTATGGAATATACCATATGAAACACGTAGGTCCTGTCTCAACTCCCCTGAAATTTCATTTTATATAGAAAACTGAAAGCATTTAAAAAAAATTAATTTCACGCGTATAGGATCTTTTTTAAGGCCTCCAAATTCTCAAGGAAGAATTTCGATCGATTTGGTCCTCCCAATTTGGAGGAGTCTCATAAACGAGACTCCTTAGGGACCACTTATATGTGCCCATAATTATGAAAGTGGTCTAAGTCATATATTTTTTGTTTCGAAATTACATTGAATTAATTTCGTTTGAAATAATATGGCGTGAAATAACTGATAAACTCATTTTTTTTTTAATTTTGACTTTGACCACTTTCATAATTATGGGCACATATGTCACCTTAATTTCTCCTTTCCATTCGGGTTTTCGGTCCTCGAGTCGGGGAAACGCGTGAGGTTGCCAGCCTCCGTAGCGGCCGGGAAAATTACCTGTACGTTGCTCTCGCGCATGAGGGCTGGCTTGCACATAATACTTGGGAATCGGAGGTCGCGGGGAGAGGATCGCATCGGTTCGAAGTAGCGATAGGTGCCCGCGTGTTCCGGCTCGACTCTTAACGAGCATGCGGGCGTCGCGGTGGGAATTCACTCAATTTAGGCGTAATCGCTCAATTAAGAGACTCGCGGGCGGGGCTCCACGGTGTAAACCGTAAGTGGAGCGGCGCTCGAAACGCCGTACCGTTTCGAGTGACTCAGGCGTCGGTTTACGTGCCGGGCCCCCACGTGTGTCGCTCTCTATTTGCTCGCCTTTCTTCCCTCTAAGTGCATCCCGCGAAATTGCGAGGAACGGGCCCGGGCGAGAACGAGTAATCCCCGCTTCTCACGCCCAGTGGCGTACTCGACATTACCGGGACGAAGTCGCGACACGTAGCGATTCGTCGCTCCGACTCCGTAAGAGGGAGGAGCAATATCGGGAATTATTATCAGCCCTTGTCTCGAGATAAATAACCAATCCGTTGAGAGGATTTTCCGAGCCCCTCAGAGGACGCCTCGACGCGTAAAGAGACGGCCATTTCGATTGATATCCCAGGAAGAACCTCCACCCGTTCATTGGCAAAGGAATTCGATGCTCGCCGATCCTCGGCCGTCTATTTTTATTGATTCGCCAGTATCACGGACCGCAGGCAGTTTGGTCGGTGAAGTCAGAAATAGACTTGGCTGAAAAAATTCGCTATGGCATCATGGTTTTACTGGAACGCGTTCCGGGGTGCCTAACGTTCGGATAACTCGCTTATCTTGCTTTCAGGTGATTTTCCGTCTTCTCTTTGGAAACTTTTGCGGGCTCGGAACCGTGGATGGGCGAAGAGAGGGAAAAGTAGGCACGCGGACTGATAAGCGGTAAATATCGTTGATCGACTGTGCGAAATCGGTCATCGGTCGGCGATGCACGGAGGGCAGGGGGGCCTTTCGGCACGGGGTGCCACGTGCCCTTAGGCTCTTCGGTCCTGCAACCCCCGTAGCCCGGCCATCGCCGGCCGAGTTACCTTTACCGCGTTTACTATTCTCTATTGTGCACGACTACGATACGGGAATCGTGGGGAGGTTGCGAGATCGCATGAGTCATCCAGTCGAGGTCCATCCATAGGCGTAAGTACGCCCCACCGCCTATCCGCGAGGACCCTCAGGAATGCTCGCTCTCGATTTCCAGATCCACATAGGGTGACGGTTCTCAAGTATCTATTTCATTCTCGTAAACCGGGTCCTCTGGTCTTCGGTCGACGCATACCTGCGCTAAATTGTATATTTTTGTACGAGCGAGTCGGGTCCTTAAACTATCCTGCCAACGAAATGCGATCACGGCATCCAATCTTACCTACGGATCAGTATTTATTAGGGATGTTCGATTCTCTTAAAAATCGGAATCCAAAGAATCGATTCTGCAAGAATACTATATATAATTAACACAAATTTAATTAATACATTTTTACGTGTCGAAAGCTATCCATGGAAATGAAATGAATTTTGTATAAAAAACTAAACAATTATTAGCCGTTTATATAGCAATTATACGTCTTTTCTAGCTTTCCCTTTGACCGATATTTCCGGCCGAGATGGTCGACGGAGTAAATGAGAGGTTCCGATTGGCTGTTGAAAGTCAGGTAGTCAGTTACGGCGGAAGTGCGTCACGACGCTGAGTTTCAGTAGCCAATCTTGTCGTGGCGACAAACAGCAACCGATGAGCGAAGCGAATTTCTCCTCTTTACGTTTCAGTCAAAAAGAATCGGTTTCTCGATTCTGAGGGCAAAGAATCGATTCTCAAGAAAATTGAATAGTAAAGAATCGATTCTCAAGAAAATTGAATAGTAAAGAATCGATTCTCAAGAAAATTGAATAGTAAAGAATCGATTCTAAAAATCGAATCGTAATCGAAAATCCCTATTATTTATCTTTCTTAGGTCCATCGAATCTATGTTTCACCTAACAGCGCCTTCTTTGAGGGCGAAGAAAAGGACGGTCATTTTCCTCCGGGTGGTTTAATTTCCTTCAGAAGTTGCCTGTAGAAAGGTGAAACGTTAGATACGAGTCCGACGTATATCTACCTGGAGTTGTCCAGCATGGGCAGGGCTCCTCGGTAGCCTACGTCACTGTGCGTATCCAGTCGATGCATCAATCCGGCCTGCATCTGTATGTATTTACGGACCCCTATATGACATCATCGCCCTCCCGTGGTCCCCGTTCGTTTCGCTGGGTGACTTCTGTCGCCTAACTCCAAACACCCCTGCCCGGAGAGTGCCACCTCCCTTTACCTTTAATCTTTATCAATCCACCCAGGCGACGCGGGCGGACCGACGAACGTCGGCGAGCATTATTCACGGACGATGGCACGTCCCGACGTTCCCCGAACCTGTCCCTCTGGCCGCCTTTCGTTCCGTGTGGTTCGTGGCTTCTGCCCGATACCACGTGATCTCCCGGTGGACCACGTGATCCCAGGCCGGACCACGTGACCTCACGCGCAGCGACTCGAGTTCTCCTCCCCACTCGACGTCGCGGTCGAGTACTCGCCCTCTCCCGTCCGGCGCAGCCGCGCACTCCGTCCGTTTATCAACGCCACGGCGATAAACGAACCTTTGAGGTTGCATTCTTCGGGCGACTTCGGACGGCCCCGCGAGCCGACCGAGACGAGCCGAATGCTCGCGAATACTCTACGTCGGGTCGGCGCGAGGGGAGGAGACCCGCGACGCGCGAGCTATAGCTCCCAGCCAAGTTAAATTCTTAGAAAAAGAGATTTATGCGCGCATTGATAGGAGACCCGAATTTCGTAAGGACCCCCTCGTACGGGGTCGAAGATGACCTTTTATCGAGTTTAGTTATTCACTCCGGAAGCTCGTCCTCGGAGATGTCGGGAACTTTCAGGATATTTAGGTCAGGAGGGTGTTTGCGTCTTTCGATCTCGGCTGGAATAGGATTTACGTGGATCTATGCGTTCACGGTTCGACGATACGCGGTTTAATTCTAAGATAAACGGTTGAAGAACCGCGCATTGCTTAAATGACTGGTACACGTTAAAGTATTGCGACGTCGCCGTACCGAGAAACTCCGACGCGATGCGTTATCGCGCTCTTGATACCTCCCTCGTGCCCGCTCGGCCGTAACGAGAAACGATTCATTTACCACGTTTTCTCCTTGGAGCGTCTTATTTGAGAAATGACTCCACTCGAACGGCTCCAGCTCGCTGTATAATTTTCCGAACCAGTTATCGAAGCTTTTATGCTTCGCGAAAGTAGAAGGATGTCAGTGGCTGTGTGGCTGGAGGAGGGATTAGGGTATTGTTAATGATTATGTTGAACGGATGGTAACGAGAAAATTTCACCGCTATTTTTGTGGGAGATAGGTTCTCGGGGAGTAGGGTGGATCCAAGGTGGGGACGGCACACCTGAGGCGTGGGTGTTGGCAAGCTAAGGGGACAGGTAGGAGGAGCCTACTTGGACGACTACCTACCGACGCCACACCTACTATTCATTATTCATTATTATTTCTTTACCTGGGTGGTGATCAGGTTATGTACAGGTTCTCAGGTTCGAAGTCCAAGAAAAAGGTCCTTTTTTTTTTACCGTGATCAGATTATGTACTAGATACTTTTCTCCTCAAGTTCCTTTGTTTCCAGCGTATCGCAGTAAGGCCTTAAAAGAAATTTCCGGTTATCTGATATTCAACGCACGGATTATTTATTATCTAACGATGATATATATATGGTATATGTGTAATATTATGTATTTCATTTTGGAGCATCGGTACTTGACGTACAATGCATGTGTGTGTATATATGTACATATACGTAGACACATGGAATGTATAACTATTATCATTGGTGTCACCGATAGCATTTTTCATTCTCCACTCAATATAGTAATTCCAAGTATAAAAATACTTTTTTCAAGAAATATGCTGTATTGGTTTGGTAATGACCGTTTTGCGCTGCCGCAGTGGACCTTTAAGCGAATGCCTGTGGCGCCATCTAATATCACCGTACAGATTTAAACGTTTCTCGTAATCGTTAATTCCTGCAACAGACGTTAGATGCCGCCACGTTAAAACGGCCATGAGTATAATTTCTTATCGGCTATTGTACAAGAAAGTCAAGGAAAAATATTTCTTAAGATAGAAAATGTATTTCGTTATTTTGTACAACGTATTGCAAAGTATTATAGAAATCAACGTATTAAAATAATATATGTATATATACTTATAAATAATTGCTTTCGCTTAGTCTGTCACTCTGGCGGGCGCGAAAGATACGTTCAAGAGTTAAAATGCAACAGAAAAAGTAGTAGAGTTCTGTGCCAGCAGTACTCTTTGAAAGAAACGAGTTGCTTATCTGAGCGAACGTAATTTATACAAAAATCACAAGCTAAGCCCGTGAACGAATTGTAATTATTAAAAAGAAAACATTTTAAGAGAATACCAAGAAATCAATGTCAGTTATTGACGAATTATACTTTTTACTAAACACTTAATGGAATGAATAATATACATTACATGCGATTGTTTCGCACAGAAGAACCGTTTTTCTCTTTCGGTACCTTTAACAGCGATGACTTCCAAAATCAGATTGGTAGAGATTTGAAGGAAAAGTTAAAGCATTTCTGGTCCGAGTGCAAAATATCGATGCGGTTACCTAGAATAGTTTTCACTTAAATGCCTGTTATAGTAAGTGAATACTTCATTCTTAAAAGGAATACTCCTTAAGAATTCCAAGTAACTCGGCACCTACTACTTTAACTGTGTATGTAGGGTCGGGTACACAAAATCGTGAAAGACAAAATAAAATCATATTCTTCCTTCACCTTCGATTTAAATGATTTCGTAGTCAAAAAATAAAAGGTAAATTGCTTTGTGTCACCACCAGTTTTGGCGTATTCAGCAATCTGCGACTACGCGGTGTACTTCTAGACGATTGCGATAATTTTGGAGTGGCTCCGTTTGGTGTCGTTGGAGTCAGATTTTTTCTTATTGGCTTTACTGGTGTTTTAACTGGAGTTTTCATTTTAGGTTTTTTATTCTGATCTTGCAAGTGTTGCTCTGGCAGGACTGAACTGCGCAGTTCGCCCCTCTCTTTTAAATGTTCTTGAAATTCTGCATAAGCTGTGGCAATTGAATCTGTACCTACGGACCGTGACCTCCGTTTCTTATGACTCTTGTTTTGCGAAATATGTTTGCTTCCACTATGGTTCAGTACTTTTTTTGAAAGCTGATAAAAAAAAGAAATTAAATAGGATCAAGATCTAAATCACTTGACATGTAATCGAGTTGTAATTTGTAAGGCATTAATACCACGGTGATTTTCTTCAGTTTTGATGACGATGCTGCAGGTCGCCGTTTTTCACTGCTCATGTTACGGCGTTTTGGTGTTTCACTGGCAGGACTTACATCGATGAACTTTCTTTTACCTGGTGTAAGTCGGCTTGTTCCGGCACCGTATTTTGAGGAACTTAACGGGGTTTTCTTTGTAGAACGATCTTTAGCCTGTTTCTGCTGAACGAAATCAATGTCAAATGCATTTTAAAATTGGATAATCCGTAATGAGTGGTTTACCTCATTATTATTTAATTTGAACGTTTTGTATATAGAGAAACTAGTTTAGATGAGAAATTAAATATTATTATACACCAACATTATAGTATAACTTGCTGAAACTAACGAAACTAATTTTGGATTGTTACTTACTCTAGTGTTCTTCAAGGTTTCCTTTTCCTTGTTGAAGTCTTCCCATGATTGCGCTAGAAAATCTGATAGTGGTATTCCATCAATTGTAAACACTTCTCCATTCTTATTTTCATAATCTTTCATAAGCACACCTAGCTGCTCTTCTATTTTAGGTAGTCTCTGAAAGGTTGTATTACAAATAAATTTAATATTAGTCTGAAGAGATTGTTTCTCTTACAAGAAACCTAGCAGTATGCTTTTTATACCTTCTGAATTACTTTGCGTTCCTTTTCCTCTGCAAGTAGTTGGCCACCACGATTATAAAATCGTTCTGGATCTTTGGATCGTTGCTCAAGTTCCTTTATCTTCTCCCATAAATGTTCCCGCTCAGTCAAAAGTTCAAAGATTGTTCTGAATTCAAATAGTAACACTGTTTAGTACAAAGTACAAGTGCATATGTAAACATACTGAAATATAATGGTACATACTTATTTGATTCATAAAAGTTTTGTAGTCTTTCCACCTCTAACTCATGAAGTGACAGCAGATCATCTGTATACGTTTGAGAATACATGTGGTAAAATTCTCGTCTTTGAGTTTCGCTAAATTTACACTGGTCCCATAGTTCTTCTAACCTGGTTCGCATCTTACCTACATATTTAGCTATATTTTCCTTTCGCTTTTCTTTACACCTTTTAATTTCATTATTTAACTACAACAATACATATTTTTATTTTCCATCGTGTACTAAAATGTGCATACATAAGTAAATGAATGTGAACTTACGGCATAAAGAACTGACACACTATGACCAGGATATTGATCTAAAAATGCTTGACCAACATGAAGTGGTTCATCGAGGTATTTCCATAATGCTATCAATTCTTCTCTCTTTTGTACAGCCTGTTGCTTTGTATCTTCTAACTGGTTCTTAAGGTCATCGTGAAATTCTTTTAATCTAGTCATATTACTGGCCGTAAAAGTAAAGTTTTCAAAGTCATTGCACACCAGTAGCTCAAAATCCAGGCACGGAGAAATGTTCAGTTGATCTAACATTTCAAGTACTGATCGGCGTGTACTCATAAATAAATGTTGTAAACGATTCTATATGTAGAAAAAGTAACACATAAATGAAACTTACAATAAAAAATAATTCAATACATGCTTCGCAAATATACAGAAGCAAAATATTACTTTTTATGATCTTCATATAATATTACATTAATCTACCAATAACAGAGAGTACAATTAATGTTATACCTTTTCAGCTTCTTGCTTTTCCAAATATAATTTGAAACTATCAAGTTGTTCATCAGTAGGCAAGTTTGCATTAATGCCCAGTGGTTGTACTCCAAGCTGTTTGCAGATTTCTTGTTCCTAGAAACAAATATTTTGTTTATTCTTTGTAGAAAAAAAAGTTTTTCCGATAACAAAACTTACTTCTAACATACCTGTGCCAATAACGTTTGTAGACGTTCAAGTCTTTGTTCTTTCATCACATTAAAATCGTATACTTTTCTTTCCAATTTTTCTACCATTTCAAGAACAGGTAAATCTTCATATCCCACAACAGAATTACTTATTCCTAGTTCCTATTAAATTACAATAAATTATCGCATTAATTGAGACATTCTGTTATCACAATATTTAATAAAAATAAAATAGTAAGAAATAAGTGTTTTTATACGTAGTTAAGAATAATAGAAACCTTTGAAAGTCTTCCTGTTTCATTAACTAAATGTGTTAATTTCTCAAGAAGAACACGTTTTCGGTCTTCACATTCTGCTTGCATCTCATTTGATAATTCCTAAAATGAAAGAGGATAGTTTTAACCAAACAAGATATTTGATTAATTATAAAAGATAATTAGAAAGTAAAATAAACCTACATGAAAATGCTGATAAATTTGATCGTAGTAGGTATTTTTAATGTGTTCTCCAAATCCTAATTCATCCCACATCTTATTTAGATGTACAAAAAGATTAAGTACTCTGTTGGTGATTTTATTTAAGGCATGTTCCCTAAATTCAAATTGGATATTGGATTGGATTAATATTAGGTTAAGGAATAAGTTCCTAAAGTTTTAATTATATTACGTTACGTTAAAAACAAGGGAAACTTATTTCTCCACCTAACAAATCATATGTTCATTATGTAATTTCCTGTACGCGATTCTTATTTAAGTATAATGCAATTAGTTATGAATGGCAAACTTAAATTATTTATTTTGACTTCATTTATAACTGAATTCAACAAGTTTCGCTAAATACAATGTACGCTTTAGATCAATTATATTAGACAATCTGTCGGTCACTGTAAACAATATCAATATTGCAAAGATTTTAAAGTATACCACCAAAATTTCAAATACTTATCCATTCAATAAATTGAAAACATGCACTTCACACTAAATATATGTTCGAATATATTAATCACTTATTAAAAATGATATAAGTAATCAAAAACTCAAGAACATTCTACTAAAGAGAATGAAAATAACCGAGTATGATTGCATACTGTTAAGCAACCTCTACTTACATTCTGGCGTCTTCACTCATTTTGATCGTTTTCCTTCGTAATATCGTACTTTACCAAGTATCTAAAATCTTTTCGAGCTCTGAACAACGGAAAATAACTGATATTGCCTCTTACAAGGAAAAAGCTGTTGACATATCCTGTATTTCAAATGTTCTTCGGATGGTCCTGCAATGTTTCTTACCGTGACCGCAACGTCTTTCTTTGAATTTTGCTTCCTGCAGCTTCCTGCGTAGCGTTCACCTTCAGCCACTCTCATAACGTTAGCTTCTTTTGAATTCATAACAAGTTGCGATTGGTTAAGCTAAGCCATGAATAGTGTGTATACAGGTAATGAACCTTGAGATCAGAGATGAGTTGGGAGATTGCTCACGGGCAACGTCTGTGCTGCCCTCCGGTGGAGGACGTGGACGGCTAATACCCTTGTCACCTGCACCCCAATGGCGGCCCATTTCAAGGATCCTCCTCATCTCTGCTCTCAACTCATCTCTGTGATAACAAACATCGTTTAACATAATTTAACATCTCTTACCAACAAGTTCAGCAAGATCTGCGGCGATGAACCAATGATGACTTGAAAAAAAATAGATCCTGTTGTGATCCACCTAAACCTGGAAAGGGGTACAAAAAAACAGGCAAAACGGAACATTAAAAAAAAATCCAGGAAGTCTGAGATTAGACAGCGAATAAGTTACTAAAAGTGAAGAATATTGATGGTATATCGATCTCGTTAAATTTACTGAACTGGTATATTTCATATTACTAATTGTTAGTCTTTACCAGATTCTCTACTCGGTTAGTTAGGTACTGTCTTCCGCTCCCCACTTTCCTTGAGCCGAAGGCTCATTCTCATCCCGCGGTCTTTTAACCCGTCCGCCTCCTCACCTCCCTCACCAAATTCCAGTAAAACTCTTTTTTGTGGACAATAGCGCGACCAAGCGGCGCAAATCGGAACTATTTTGGATATCCCGCATTTTGATCAAGCAATGGGCTTCTAGGAGACGTTGGATTTCATCGTATCAGATCGTATATACTAGATGTAACTTTTGACGAATTCGGATACGGCCTAAATAATATTTTAATCTTATATCTGATCAGAACGTCAACCGGGAGAATGCAGCAGTACGACATTCTGATACAAGAAATCGAGGGCATCGACGATTATTTAGGTCCAACGTTCCGGTACCTTATCTTTTTTAATTGCAAAACAATGCGTAAACATGGGCGTACTGAATTCCGCGGTTTTGGAACATTCTCGCGTACGCAGATGCATGAATTTTTCCTGCATATGCGCACTGAAAGGGTCAGAATGTAGGGAAATATATATGTATCTCAGTCAGAACCGAGTAGAGGCGTGCTCGGAGCTGAAGGGCTTGTAATATGTCTAGATTGTCAATTTCACAAATACAAAATATTCTTCCTAATGTCGCCCCTAAACATGAGCATTTATTGTTGGAAATCGAATCAAGTGACATTAGCAGCTTAGGTCTTGTTATCAGGTTGCCATTTATGGATGTTTCATTTTAAGTCAAATTTACTATATCATGGTCTATACTAAAAGCGTTTTCAAATATTGGAATCATGGTTTCATAATACAATTACCATTTGTTCTATTTTTCAGGGCAATATATGATGGAGATGAACATCAAAAGTTTATGGATAAATTGGTTGAAAGAATTAAGAGTCATGACAAGGATATCGAGCGAATGTGTAATCATCATTATCAAGGCTTCATAGATTCTATAAGAGAACTCCTGCGAGTTCGTTCCCAAGCAGAACAACTTAAAGTTTGTTTGAATATATCAAGTCTATTTTATCATGTCAGTTACATATTTATTATTACACTATATCTTATTAGGTTCAGATATTAGAATTGGATAAACACATTAGTGCAACGACATCTAAAGTGATAGAAAAAAGAGAAGAATTGGTAAATGCTCGAAAAGTTGAAAGCAATATGGCAGCAGCTGTAGACAGTTTAACAATGTGTCTTCCTGTACTAGCTGCATATGCAAAGTTGCAGAGACAATTAAAAGATAAGCGTTACTACCCTGCACTTAAAACTCTTGAACAATTGGAACATCACGATCTTCCAAAGGTTACTAACTATAGGTTTTCTTTACAAATTACAGAACAGATTCCAGTGTAAGTTATTATGCTATCTATCTAGCCAAAATATTTGTAAGTAATATGATTGTAACTAATGAAATATCATTATCCTTACAGGTTACGTGAAAATATAAAAAATGCTTCAATGTCTGATCTACGTGACTTTCTAGAGAATATCAGAAAGTATTCGCCAAAAATTGGAGATGTTGCAATGCGACATGTAAGTTATTTATAATTGGAACTTTTTTTAATTGTAATTACAACTAATAATACCAAAAATTTATTCTTAGACTGCTGAACAGTTAACAAGTGAGGCTGAAATTATTGGACGTAAGAAAAAGCAGTCTCAACTGAATTCCTCGATAGGTGACACGGAAGAAGAACTAAGTGCACAAGACCTTATGGACTTTAGTCCTGTTTATCGCTGTATGCATATATATACCGTGTTAGGTGAAGGTGATACTTTTAAATCTTATTACAGACAGCAAAGGAAGCAACAAGCTAGACTAGTTTTACAGCCTCCCATAAATATGGTAAAATAAATTTCTTTTTGAGTGTATGATATTCTATTGGAACATTACTAATGTATGATGTTATTACAGCATGAAAGCATAGGAGGATACCAATCATATATTTATGGAATCTTAGGATTTTTTGTAGTTGAAAATCATATTTTGAATACTGGCAATGGATTGGCAACACGGGCTTATCTGGAGGAACTGTGGTCTATGGCACTGTCTAAAATTGTAAATGCCCTCCGAACCCATTCGGTAATTAAAATTAGTTACGAAACTGCAAATTGTTCACTGATATTCACTTTTTATCAAGAATGGACATTTTAATGAATAATATGATGTTTGAGCTAATGAAAAGTTTTTTGCAGGCTTATTGTACGGATGCGGTGCTGATTCTAAAAATAAAAAATTTAATAATGCTATTCAATACAACATTGAGAGTGAGTAATGTTTTGTGGAGAAACTGATCGTTAATTTGAGTAATTTTTACTTAAAGCTTTTTGTTGGGTGAACAGAATTACGGGTATCCTGTGGGACAATTGTGGGATTTGCTACAAGAGATTAGAGTGCACTACAATGAGGTTTTGATGCAGCATTGGGTTCAAGTGTTCAGGGACATTTTGGACGCGGACAGTTTCCTACCAATCCAGGTGTATATTCTATAGTACATCAGTTATTTTATGATTAATATTATCAATATCATGCATCTACTAATTTTGAGACTTTTAATTTTTACAGGTTTCATCACAAGAGGAATATGATAACGTTCTTGGTTCATTTCCATACCATGACGAAGAACTGCAACAGGCAGATTTTCCAAAAAAGTTTCCCTTCTCAGCAATGGTACCTAAAGTGTATCAGCAAGTAAAAGAATTCATTTACGCTTGCCTTAAATTTTCGGAGGACTTGAATTTAACGCAAACGGAGATAGATGAAATGATTCGGAAATCGACCAATTTATTGTTAACACGGACATTTAGTGGGTGTCTTACGTCGCTCTTTCGGAAGCCATCCTTGGCACTTTTACAAGTTGTACAAATTATAATCAACACGGGTTATCTGGAGGATTCAACAAAATATTTAGAGGAATTTGTTTCTAATATTACTGGGTGAGTACAACGATTTTGATGATGATAAACATCACGACTAAAATAATATTCATGTAATAAATTTAGTACACCACATGAGGGCCAATTGAGTTTTGGAGGAGTTCAGTCTGCTATGTTCAGAGTAGCGAGGGATGATGCTGAGAAGCAGATCTGCGATAAATTGAAGCAAAAGCTTGATGAATTTCTGGAGTTAGAAAATTATGACTGGAATTTAGCTGAACCACAAGGGCATGCTTCTGGTTTCATTACAGATTTAATAGCATTTCTTCAAAGTACTTTTACATGTTTCACTAATCTACCTGTAAGCTTTCATTTTCGTAATTACAAAATTGATTCCGTATTTGATGAAGAAATCTAAAATAGATACTATACCAATCTATATTCAATCTAATCGTTAAAACAATTTTTTAGGAAGAGGTTGCGCAAGTTGCGTGCAAGTCAGCTTGTTCTCATATAGCTAAATCAATACTTCGAATATTAATCAGTGAAGATGTAAAGCAAATTTCTATGGGTGCCCTCCATCAAGTAAATCTTGATACAATACAGTGTGAACGTACGTTTCTTCTAATGAGATATTTAAAAATATTGATATAATGTGAACATGTATTATCAATTTAATATGTAATTTTTTTTTAATCTTGCAGAATTCGCTGCTTCGGAACCAGTTATAGGATTACCGGAGGGAACATTGCTTCAGTTCTTTGCACAACTTAGACAACTGCTTGATTTGTTTATGAGTTGGGATTGGCCTACATATTTTCATGATTATGGTCATGAGTCCAGTAAATATAATCTAGTCCCGCCTAACATGGCAGTACTATTACTAGAAAAGTGCGTTTCAAATACATTTATGGTATATACATTGGAATTTAGGAATTACGCTTACTTACTTTATATAATGTGTTTCAGGTTAAGAGAGGCTGATAAAAAAACGGTATTTTCGGTACTGAAAAAAAGTGAGAGAGATAAAAAGAAATTATTGGAAACAGTACTAAAGCAATTACGGCAGTTGGCGCAGACCACTCAACAGTAACCTATTAGAGCTTGCTTGCATTTACAAATATAAAACACAACAATTGTAAATATGTAATATAAATATATTTAATGAGAGACACTATTCTAAAAGCAATTATTCGTGCAGTTTGTCATTTTGGACCACTTTACATATATTTTTACTGGGCTACTCTTCAAAAGGATGTTAAATTAGAAAATGTAGCAAGTTTGAAAGAATCAACATCCAAGTTATTTCAGACATCACAGTATATTTTCAGATGACAATATTGGAAAAAAAATGCATGCAAACTTACATTAAAGTATATTACAACAAATTTAAAGATAAAATGGGAAAGCGCATGTGTCTTCGAGCATCCAGTATATTTATTATTTTAATCGCCTTTTTCCTTTTTAAATTGATAAAGTTATGTTACATGTACATGAGTCACATATGGTACAATATACTCAAAGCAACTGTACACCAGACTAAATATCAAGTATAAATTCCCAATTCCTAATGTTGCAACTGCAATTGTACCTAGATTCAAACACCGTGATCAATATAACCGACCACCTTACAATGGCAATTTCAACTTATATTCATCTTAAAGTATTGAACATCCATACGAAATATAAAATGGATAGTCTGATAGATAAGAGTTATATTAGGAATAGTAAAATAGATTAAATACAAATCAACAATAATTCCGGTAATGATGCCCTACATAGGCAATGTCCAATACTCAAATGGATTGGCCAAGCATTTAGTTGAGGCGAAACAAATTATATTATGCGAATGTATACCAATAGTGATACATGTGGCACAATTTAATCCATGATATAAATTGTAATGAGCAGAACTAATCATCAGCATTATCTGGTTCTTCATCAGAAGGTAGCACGGAATACTTATTGGAAGCTACGAAGTTCTGTAACATTTGATAATAAGGAATATATTTAAAAAATTAAAACGGTAAACAACTTCTATGATGCTATTCTTAATTATATCAAGCTCGACATACTCGAAAGTTAGAAATTATTGGATTAATAATTTTTCTATGACAATGTTACTCACTGGAGCTTGCTCACTGGCCACTGGGATTTTATCTGAGTCATCTTCTCTATCTCTTTCTTTGTGCACCGTACTAAAACAGATTTTATTTTGATAGGAATGTAAAAGTTAAAATTATATATTTATTTATTGATAAGCTTTATTGCATAATTTAGTATAACTCATACCTCTCGTTAGATTCTTCAGAATCGTCTGGTTTATCAGTGCCACGAGTTGATGGAGCAGCACGAGAACCTGAAGATTCTCTTGACTCTGAGCGTTGGTCTAATTTAGTAAGACTATCTGTAATATATTTTATTATTGTTTCTTCTTTTTCAATCACGTTAGTATTAAATATTAAATAAAAATAATTTATTTCAACTTAGTTAATTTATAACATCACCAGATCGAGCAGAAGTTGAATGACTCTGAGCTGGTCTTTCCATTGGTCTCTCTCGGTCTTCATCTGATCTCCAGGTCGGACGAGGTCTTCTTTCTCTGTCATCACGGCCATCCTAGAAAAAGTTGAAGTTACAAGCGTTATGAAGTAAATTCTTTAAATATTTATATACTCAATTAAAAAAAGAAAACTTACTTCATTGCGCCGGCCCCAAGTACCTTCTCTTGCTCCGCGTTTATCGTCACTGTAAATATCAATTTGTAAACATACGAAGTTTTGGCTTTAACTTACTCTTTACAGTTATATACATACGTCTTTCCTTTGCTTTCGTTTTGTACAAACTCCAATTAAAATTAATTAACTATGTACACACCCTTCTTCTCTAGATCTTGTATCTGCATAAGACCTAGTAAGACGTTCTTCTATCTCTCTTTCTCTGGCAGCAGTATCAACAGGTTTAGCAGCACCGAAAATATTAACTGCTGGAACAGGAGTTGGTGCTGATGATGGTGCTGGTGCAGAGGTTTCGTTTGATGATGAATCCTCTTTTGCAGTTATGGGCTCAATTGGTTTCGAACGTGGTTGTAATTGTAATTTTGGTCTGGTTCGAAGTTCATCTCCTTTAAAAGAAATCCTATGTTAATAAGTTATGTTCAGAAGTACATTTATTATATTTATAAAATTTTATCTTACTCTCAGCATCTTCACTTGCTGGTCGACGATCTTTTTCCCAATCGGAGTCTCCATAAGTACGACGTGGACCAAAGCTACTGCCCCTGTCTCTATCATCCTCTCTGAAACCACCTCGATCTCGATTTCCTCTATCTCCAAAGCGAGACCATTCTTTGTCTCTATCATCATCTCTAAAGCTTGGTCTGTCTCTAAAAGCTGAACCTCCTCTGTCTCCTTCACGCCAACCACCAGGTTTATCATCAGCTAGTATATTAAAACAATATCATATTAATTCTGTATATTCAAAATTATGCTTGTTCAAATTTGGTGCAGTAAAAGTACTAAACCTTCTCTATCTTCTCCTCTTCTATTATCAAATCCACCATAGCTGCGAAATCTGTCTCTATCAGACGAATCTTCTCTTGGACCACTTCTCCAATCTCCAGAAGTACGTTCAGGATCATCTCTGTAACTGTCTCGACCCATTCTCGATCCAGAACGTCTATCATCATTGCTGCTGTTTGATACTTCAATTCTAACACGTCGTGTCTTGATAGTCTATATAAAATAATAAAATATAATTTTGTTGTTTTCAAATTATTTTTGTGCTTTCAAAATATGATTGGTTTTACTGCATTTGTAATACTATAATAATGTAATAAAAAATACCCTGTTTGTCATAGATAATGCTTCAATTAAGGTTTGGCGATCTTCAAATTCAACATAGCCATAACCTCTCAGTTTGGAAGAATCCTTTGGAAGACGCATATTAACTATCTGAAAAATTTATATTATATTTTTATAATCATCCAATACTTAACCATATATGCATACAAGACAAACCTTCATATCTGCAAAGAATTCAGCAAGTACTTCTTCATCTACTTCATATGGCAAGTTGGATATGTAAGCTACATATGGAGGATTTGTTGGGATATTTTCTTCGTCAATACCAGGGCCTCGAGCAACTCGTGGGGCCGTTGGTAGAACGACTGGTTTCTTATTTCTTCTTGAAGAATACATATCTGTTACATATAATATAAACCATTATTTTACTATTTGAAGGTATCGTCTGTAAATATATATTTTTTCTTCTTTCTAGCTTAATGATAATCTTAAAAATCATGTATTCATCGTATCATAATCTATTGCATCTTCTTTTTAACACAAGAGAACCATATAGCATTTATAACTTTCATTTGTGCTAAAATAATTTCATACCATCATAATCATCATCTTCGACATCATCAGCCCAGCTTGATGATTTCATAGGAGCATTAACATGTGCACCAGGAGTATCGGCCAAAAAATCTGTTAACGGTAGCGTTTTCAACTTGGTTTTCTGTTCTTTAACCTTGTTTTTCTTTCCTTTTTTGCCTAAATAACATCAAGCAGTGCAATTTGCAGTTAAATACAGCAATGAAAGTTTTCTTCATAAATCTCAACAGGTATACATATATACACCAATTCATGATAGCACGAGCATGCCACATCCCATTGAGGAAGTTTGGTTAGGTATGACAAAAGGAACGAAAACTCTTACAAATAGAATTTTTAGAGCAAAATCTTTTTGTACCTTTTGAAAACATTAACTAACTTAACGATAAATACTGCGAAACGTACCTGAAGACATGGTTAAGGATTAAATTTTTGAAAACGTAAACCAATCCGTAACCCAGTACTGCACACGGCCAACCTCGAGGCTGTAAGGCATAAAATACCTAGTTGCAAGTGCCACTTCGCTATTGGTGAAAATTGAACAATGATTCACACTCGACAGTGCTGCTGGAGACTGCGCAGTGATAAAGAATGAAACTAGTAGTCGACCAAATAAAATTTCTGTCGATTATACAGTTGAGGTATGTACTAGAAAGAAAATATCGTTCAATTAAAATCTACAAAGTGGCAAAGAAATACAATTGTGATTCAAGATTGGAAAAAAGAAATAAAAAAACTATCACCTATTTTGGCAGGGCTCTTCAGATTATTTTTGAGAGTTTAAATAACAGGATAAAAAGGAAAGCACTGTCAAAGTAAAAATGACTCGTTACATTTATTTAACATATAAATAATGTTGTACTCTCGATTGCAGTTAAATTAACGCAATCATTAATTTATTCCTTAACGTGTAGAACAATGCGATACTAAACGTTATAGCACCGATAAGATGTAGATTACATTCCATGACAACATTACAATATACTTTCATAATGACATATTTTTAATTTTTTTCGCGACTCATGCAGTTGCTACCTAGTACGAATCCTTGTTAGAAAAAGGTTTTGTATTTCTAATATTTTCATACTACTTTCACTTTGTTCTTCATCTACAAGAGCATGTCATAAATATAGCTTTCTACCGATGTTTCTAACAATTAGTAACAGGGTGGTCGTATTTAATACCTACATACATCTATTAAAAAATAAGTCTGATGATCCTCTTACAACAATTTTTAAACAGCGCCCGAAGGTTATCAGCAATCCAGTCGATTTGCTTCCGATCAGTAATTAAAACAGGGAGCCGCAAGGGTGATCCCTTTCAGTTCTTTGCAAGGTGCAAAAAAAATCTTGCCACGACTTCGAAAAGATCACGCGCACATTGCGCTCGGTGAATCCCACATATGGATTATCTGTCAAACTTGTTTTCCGTTGGACAAGTAACGTACATGGGAAGAGGAGAACTATCGTAGTACCCGTACATGTGCTGGGAAGGCGGTGGTGGATGCATGGCAGGCATCATGTGCATCTGCGGTACAAAAGGCAACATTTGGACAGGAGTAGCTGGCATGTTGGACCCTACCAAGGCATTTCCATTTCCCAAAGTTGACCCGTTATAGGAGCCCATATACAGCTCTTGATTCATTTTTCCAGAATAAGTACTGCCGGGTCTGATGGAGGCTTCGTGGATGCTAGATGCCATAGCTGCCATGCGAGCTTCGTTCACTTGGCTGCTCCATCGCAGTCGACATATGCAAATGATGATCACCACTATCGCTATAAAAGCTACCACGCCTCCCACGATGCCGATGATTAAAGTGTCGTCCGTGCCCGTTGAGGTTCCCATGGAGTTACTCCCTAGGTCGTTATTGTGATGCTTGTTGCGATTCTCTTGTAATGTAGGGGCTACCGTCCATATAATTTCAGGCTCCGGAGTGGTCGACTTAGTCACCCTTGTGGTTTCCGTGGTCTGAGTCGTGGAAGATGTGGTTTGCTCGCATGAAAGCTGGTCCTCGTTCAGATCCGTTAGAATACGACCAGCCAGGTAATCCGGCGTCATGCAAGTGACTTCGGGATTGTTCCTTGGACCTTTAGGAAACCTTAACCAGCGCCACAAATGCTTTGCATCGCAGTTGCAAGTAATTGGGTTTGAATTCAGTCCGAGTAACGAAACCGTTCCTCGTCTTTCGTCCAAAGCTGCAACAAACTGAGCCGAGATGGTCGAAAACAAACTGCCAGCTATATCCAGCTCGACTTTTGTTGATCTGGGGACAGGGAAAAATACGGCTGCTGGTATTGAGGCGATCGAGGTGTTCTTGAGGCCGATGAACAGTTCCGGACTTCGCACTCCAACTAACGAACTTGATAAAATGTTTCGCAGCCTTTCTCCTCGTAAAGTCAATCTCCTCAGGCGGGGATGAGTTCTCAGAGAAAGCTGCTCGTTTCCAACAGATGAGTCCTTTATTTCGACGTCGAGTTCCCTAAGATTGTGCATATCTTTCAGGATTCCTTGTACGTCGAAGTAGCCAAGTCTTGGGTACCCGTAAGCATACAAGGCACGTAATTTGCCCAAAAGTTTGAAAGAACTCTTCTCTATTCTCGTACACTCGGATAGGTTAATCATCTTCAACGTTCGCAGAGACTCCAGGCCAATAAAACTGCTGTCATTGATGGTTTTTACGGCATTACCCGAAATATCCAAGGTGTTGAGCACGGGAAGCACCTTGAATGTGTTGATCAGATCGACGTAATCAGCCATACTGTTCTTGGAGATATCAAGAATCTCCAATAACGTGGTGCGTTCTAATGCCGATGTCTTGATGTCGGTTATATTATTCCCGGATAAATTCAAAAACTTCAGAAATGGTGCTTCCAGCCTTGTGATATTTTTAATGCCAGTGTTTGCAAGGTTTAACGAGCGTAAAATTTTCGCCTCTCCTAGGATACCCCGAATTGCGTTTTCGCTGAGAGGGTTTTCGGAAAGGTCCAGTTCTTTTACATTATTTAAGATGTCCTGAGTGAATACTTCTACGATTTTATTTCTGGCCATGTTTAGGCTTATCAGCGAAGACGCTTGTCTCTGCAGTACTTTAACTGGAATCTCGTTGAACTGATTTCCCTTTAAATTAATCCGTTCCACCGATTGAATCCTCGATGTGTCGAAAACAGTTTCCGGTAGAGAGGACAGCTTGTTGTCTTGTAGGTTGAGTTGTTCCAAACGAATCATACCTTCCATTGCCCGCTCGCTGAGGGTTTCTATGTTATTTTCCGACAAGTCCAGAGTCTGAAGTTGCGTGGAATTGTGGAAAGCCAGCTCTTCCACGAACTCTATTTTATTTTTCGACAGGTCCAGCTTTCGAAGTCGTCCAACTTGGGAGAAGGAAAATTCCCCGATGCTTCGAAGGTTGTTCTGCGACAGATCCACGATTTCTAAGAACTGGAGAGGCTTAATAAAGTCACTTGGGAACTGGGCAAACTGATTCCCAGATAGATTGATGTCTCGCAGCCGTGGGTGTATCGCAAAAGACGTGGCCGATAGGTGACGAATCTGATTGTCCGATAAATCCAACACTTCCAAGCCCGTACCTGTGCTGAAGTACTCTCCTGCAAAGGAGGTCAATTTGTTTCCTTTTAAGTTGAGCCTGTACAAATGGATCAGTCCAGCGAAAGCGCCATTGGCGACGTTGTCAATGTCGTTATAAGAAAGATCTATCGATGACAGGTTGTAAAGCTGCTGAAAGGTACCCTCTGAGATCTCTTGCAGGTGATTCCCTGACAACGATATCCTCTTCAGAGAATCTAAATTCAATAGCAGAACCGCTGGCAATATTTTCAGCCCGGTATAGGATATGTCCATGGTCGTCAACGACGAGGGGAAAACTGGTGGAAAACCTCCGTAGAGAGGATTACTGCTGAGGTTTAAATACTGCAATCCGGATAGGTACTTAAACGTCTCAGGAGACACTTTCTTCAGTTGATTACCCGCCAGATTTAGGGATACCAGATTTCTGAGTGGCAACTCACTGATACTGGTTAGCCGATTGAAGGAAAGGTCCAGATTCAATAATGTATCCTCCAGACCACTAAAAGTGGTTTGCGAAACAGACGAGAGCATGTTACTGCCCAATTCGAGGCTAACTAAGTTCTTGAAGTTGTTGAACAGCTTCGAAGGAATTTCCCGAACCAGATTTCCAGTCAGCCCTAGGCTGATCAAAGTTGGTGTCGTTGATCGCAATAATTCCGTGGATAATGCTGCTATACGGTTGAATTCTACGTGCAAATAAGAAAGCGATGGCAATCGTGCGAGGGCAGATGCTGGTACCAATAAAATATTGTTGTCTTGCAGAGACAACCATTTCAGTTTGGTCAATCCCTCAAAAGATGACTCCTCGATCTGGAAAATACATCACAAAGAACGGATTATTAACAAATCAGCTTAAACACTGAAGTAAATTATTTTTAGGTAGTATTCTTTTATACGTACAGTGCGGAGTGCATTCAGACTTAAATCAAGTCGAGTCAGAGAGGAAAGGCTGGAAAACGTGTTCACGCCCAAGCGTCCAATGTTGTTTCGGCTCAGATCCAATACTTGTAACTCCGTCAACCGCGACAGGTGAGTTCGTTCTATTACCTACAAATTAAAAAAGGAATGCAATAAGTGAATGATGAACAATCCTATAATGATGAATTTATTGGAACTTACGGTGATCAGATTGTTAGAAATATTCAGGAACTTCAAGTCCTCCAAGTGCCTGAGTGCGTCCGAGGGGAAATCTTGAAGAAAGTTTGCGGACAGATCCAGTTGCTGCAAATTATATGCCCCTGCAAACATGTTAAACCTCCGATCAACAGTTTCCTCGTTGTTGTCCAACACTGCCTTTTTTGTTTGCGTCGGGTATATCTTTTTTCCTTAGAACTTTACCTCTTATTAGAAAATTGCGGAAATACTGTGAAAAGACTATAAAACACAGCGGGATCATCGAATGGTCGTTTCAGTCTCGTGAAACTCCGGCAAAAGTTTACGGGGAGGTGCTGCCCCGTGAGAACACGCTATCTAAAGTTCATTGTTCTTCCTAGGTCGTAACCGCCGACTGGCAACTTGAAACGGGCGTTGCAGGACGTGAAGATCTTTTTTTCTTTTCCCACGAACCGTCGGCGCGGGTGTTTCAGTTTAGAAGAGAAGAGGAAAAGAATAGCGCTCCATTTCTCAGGAGAGAATAGGCATCAACGGCAACAATTGCCTTAGAAATCATTATGTTCAACCAGTCAGGAGCCAGATAGCGATTGAGTTACCCTTGAAAACGTCGCTGTTGAATCGCGCGAGGTCATTGTGGGAGATGTTGAAGATAAGCAAATTGTCCAGGCCGGAAAGTGCTCCATCCTCTATATGAGACAATTCATTGTTGCTCAAGTCAAGACGCAGTAAAGATTCTCCTAGTGGAGTAAATGTTCCTCGAACGATGGAATCTGGTAAAAATCACAATGAGAAAATAATTTACGTTAATAAATCATCGTCACAACTAAGAAAGAATGAAATCAATTCTTCATCTGGATTTCATTACTTCCATGCTAACAAAATCATGACTGAAATTTACCGATTTTGTTGCCGGACAAGGAGAGTACCCTGATGGACTTTGGGCCCTTCAACGAGACAACGGGTACCGTAGTCATATTGTTGTCGTCCAAGTAGATCTCCTCAAGGTTCCAGCAACCTTTAAACATGCCCTCCTCGATGCTGCGCAACCCGTTGCTGCTGAGGTCGAGGAGCCTAAGCTCGGACATGTCGTGGAATTCGTTGCTGGAGAATATTGGGTTCAAATTGTCTCCTAGTAGGTTTCCAGCTAGTCTGAGCTCTCGCAGGTTCCTCAATGATTTTAAAACGCGATCCATCAATCGGTAAATGGCATTGTTCGATAGGTCTAATTTTTCCAGAGGAAGACCTACGCCGAGGAGGTTCTCGGGGAGGCTATGATAGCCGCATTGCTTCTGGCTTAGGGAAACTATCGGCTGACCCTTTAGACCATCCAGGGATTCTCGAGTGAGGATCACTCGGTCACAATCCATACGAAGAGCTCTTTGGTGATTCGAAGATAGGCTGCATTTGCAGGGCACATGAAGATCCCTCTTCAGTTCGACGCAGGGTCTCCATTGGCCTAGGGTAGACAAAATCCCCGTAGCCAGGAAAACCCCGAACAGCAGCCACCTCCTGAAATCCAAACCACGACCCCTCAGACTTCTGTCGATTTTGCAGTTTTAGAAGATTCCACGGAGTTTCCTAAAGGTTAAAGAATTTTAAAAAATGAAAGCGTTTAATGTTCTCGAGGTTTCAGCAGACTTGCATAGGTTGCACAAGGTCTTTTGGGGATCGAGCATGCTTCTCTAATGCAATTTAAACGACCGAAGCGCCAGAGATTATTATGATTTACGGCGTTTAAAAGCCTCTTTCAAGGAGCGAGGAGTTTTCACCGTTAAAAGTCGTTAGGCTCATAATGATTGCAGGGCACCACGGAACGAAATGTGCAAGGGAAATAGATGTAGTCGTAAACATTGGGTTGGGCTTCCTGCCTTTCTACAGTGGAGCAACCATAACGGGAAATCTTTGTTTTAATTGGGAAAAAGAACGAGCAATTTGTGTGTGAATATTATTATCTTGAATCGCGAAATTGTATAAACTTATTATTCTCCACTTTCTCGGAGGAAGTTTGGTGCGACTCTAAGATAAAATACTGCCATTACAAAGACGAGCGTTTCATTTTTCATTTCACAATGCCAGTGCTCAGAGAGAATCCCGAGGTAGTGCGTAATCAATTCAAGGTTGCAAATATTCGCATCATCATTCGATTCGCCCTGTATGTAAAAAGTGTTCCACGCAATGCTCTCCGTTTCTCTTCGCTTCTGTATGCACCAACACATGGTGTAACGTAGGTCATAATGTAAATAGTAATGCACCTAAATTATACTCTGGGCAAGTGAATATGTCGTCATCGTGACTGTCTGCATTTCTTCACTTCGACGCTCATTGCCAGCTGAGAGCAAACCTCGAGTCGAATAAACGCCCAGGTAAGTCATCCGGTAGAAAGTTAAAAAATAATCGAACAATTTTCAATCATTTCGATATGACAACACGTTGCCGATAAATTATTGCAGTCGTTTTTCCATTCGTTAGCTAAGCAGCCTCTCGACATTCAACAATTTCACTCTTAAGAATTCATGTACTTTCAATGCGTATTCGAAGGTGGACGTTTCATCTCGAGTCTAACGCATATATACTTTACTAAGTGCGTATGCTTCCAACTTTCACTAGAGAACAGGTGGTGCGGGTTTGCATCTAGATTTTAATTACTTTCAATAATCCTGATCCGGCACCATTTCCTTGAAGTGACAAAATTGGTTATCTCCGCACCACTGCATTTAGAGCGTATGATTTAATGGAAAATATTCGTTTCTACTGGAAATCACAAGTTTATACATAAATGTCATTAATATCCTGTCACGATTGTAACAAAATGGAAAACGGGACAATCGGAACGTAATTTGCGAGGTACATCGCATATGTATGCACGGTGATAATTACTCGAGAAAGTGGGCAAAATGTTTAGAGCCACTTAACAAGAGAGTCGGGCTGCTATTTTATTCATTGCATTCACAAGACGTGCCTTGTTAAAAGTCAGCACTTAGTATATATGTCACGACGCTCTAGCAAGTAATCGGTCGCATAATAATTACTACGAGGCACAGCCGAAGTCATTGGCCAACACTGCACAAATTAAACTGCAGGTACCATTATTAGAAATTTGGTAAAACCCCTTTCTCAATTACCGACTATATCCTTTAAATTATTTTATTTACGTCAACTTTACATCGTCTAATATTCATTCAGTTATTTTTTTCAGGGTCTTAAAATAAACGAATCTTTGCACAGACATCTCTCATTACGTAAAAAAAAATGGACATAGGCTGTTTTCTAAATACTCAGTTCAAAGAGTGTAACAGTACAACACTACCGTTATACATCTCATATGCCTTACAACAGTTGCATCATCGTCTCGAGCGGTAAACCCTCGGCAACACCCCGATCGTAAATTTACCCCTGTTGTATCTTCCACATGTCGGAAGCAGCCGACCTTCCTTGTTTTGAAGGTAACGAACGCCTTAGTTAAACCTTCCAAGAATTTCCTTTAACTTCAAGTATACTAGAATAAAATGATTAAACGCGTAATAATCCACGTCTTTCTCGATCACCTCTGCATGAGAATAAAAGCACAACGTCCGAGTAGCCGGGTACCATTTGATTGAGGCGTTTCAAACCTCGCCTCTAAATCAATTTGCCAAGCAGATATAATATTTGCAGTTACTTAAGACCACTTGCAGGCTAAACGACGAAAAAGTATACAACGTTCGTTCAAATAGAAATAAAAATGCATCGTTTATTCATATAGGATAGAACATGATGCCGATCTCCCTCCATTGTCCCTCAGTAAAATTGCTAATAATTCGGGATAACTTACGCCATGATTGATTCCACGTCACGGGATCCTGGACGTTTCGAGGTCAGGTCGGTCACTGGAGTCGCGTAAGATGAGGCATGTTGAGTTCGTGGGACTCCGAAGTTCCGGGGCTCAGAAAATACCGAACATGACCGCCGATTCACCGTGGCATCGGCCTCCACGCATTGAAGTCTCCGCAGGTAGAGGCGGCATCCGCCGCTGGTGAGCACTCGACACTCGCGTTACTGGCAGCTACTGTCTCCACAGGTGAGTTGGAAGAGGCCGAAGGCGGTCCGGAGGCTCGCCTGGACAAGGACGTAACACTAATAAAAATTAGTAGGTCCCGCGGGCGGAGGCTGAGGCCTTTCAGGACTCCGAGGCGCGCAGAGGTGCGCTCCGTGCTCTCTCCGGAGGTTCGCGGACTTGGACATAACGGGGATTTCGACGTGAAGCAACCACCACTACTAGCTCCCAGTCTGCCAGCCTCTACTACCACTGCTCAACTACCGGCACAACCACTGCCAGCGGTCCTCTCGGTAGAAGTGGAAAACCGGAGACCCACCGAGCCAGGGAAGAGAGAGGGAAGGCGAACGTATAAAGGCGTTTCTCGAGCGGCCTTTCACTACGGTCACTCATATCGGCAAGCTATTTCAGGGTTCCGCTCTGCCGAGCGGGCGATTTTCGCACACCCAAAAGATGGACTCAAAAACGCCCCCAAAAATTGAAAGGCACCTCCCCGAGGCAGAGGTGCAGCAGGTGGCACGATTTCATATTCTGCGTTCTTTGCCAGATTTTGAGGCGACGATTATGCTTTTTCTTTTAGGGCATCCTGTATTTCTTGCCTTCCAACGCGTTGAATCAGGTTCGAAGGCGAATTTAACGGTAGATAACAGCTGAACAGGTTTCGCAGGATTCTAGCTACGTGGTATATATTCCCTCAAGGATATGTCGTGTAACGCGACACATCAAGAGTATGGGATTCTTATCCGTGGCTTCTATTCTGGGATTGGAGTCACTGTTTTCTGATTTTCCATTGTATGACTCCCTTTTCCAATTATCCCGTTTTCTTTGTGCTGCGGTAATTGCAGCGTTTGAAGTCTTTACTTTGGCTCACCATTAAGATCGACGTATCATTATGTTAGGAATTTTTACAACTTCACTTAAAGCAACAGCTGAAGCAATGTCGGTTTTCTTCGCACGCTTTCCACGTATACATTTATGGTTAATGACATGTGCACCGCGTGGAAGCAATGTACATCGAAGTACGTATATGTTCACGATGCATGCAACAGTCAACTGCTATACATCCATGGTACGCGATTTCCCAACCGAAGAGTTGCTGCTAGAATAGCTCCAAAGTACACCTATGATAGTATTATGGTATGTGTTCAATGCATGGTACGGCTCACTACGGGTAGGCTAATTTCTGGAATTAATGATTTTTATTACCTGCACGTAGATAGTCGAGGTTTCGTTGCATTTCCCCGTGAAAAGTGCAACTCTTCTGGAGGGACGAAAGCGACCTTGAGTGCTCCAACCTGGAGGGGACAAAGGAATGCGGGAAAGAGTTTGTTTACTTCGGTCGAGCCAACCAAAGGGATAGGCGCACCTTCGGAAATTGACCGGAAGCCTCCGCAATTCCTCTGGCATTCTCCCCTGCACCTGGCTGCCATTCCGGCGAGAAAAACAGACGATTTATGTACCTATACTTCGTGCATCTCAGAATTACGAAAATATACCTGGAAAATTCTCTACAAGCTCGAAGTTCGGCCGGTCATTTCTTGAAAGTTACTGATTTGAGGATGCTGATACCGTTTGATTTCACGGTGGCCCTTCTAAAGTGAAATGGCTGATGGAGTAACCTTTTTCGATACATAGAATTAATAGCCAGAAATTGCCTCTTCGAGTTGATAGTTCCTGAAAGGCAAGGAGTTTGTTGAGGTTTCATTTTTCATCTCGACTTATAGTTCCTTGGATACGCAATTGATATTGAAAATACATTTTACCGTTTGTATTTCACTATTAAATAGCAAATTTATGTTATAGGAAAAAATAGTAAATAAGAGGTCTTCTATAAATCAAGTCAACATTCTTTACAACGAAATAGTACGATATTGCTTCAATCAAGATTTTCGTTCAAATGTGAAATTGCACAACACAAAGGCATTGTGAATGTGGTGTAGCAGTATACAAATTTTTTTTAGAAGAAGTTTCTGCCAGTATGCAACAGAAAAGATATAATTACTTCTAATAGCGTCATCTGTTCTTTGGATATAGGATCAGGCTTTTAAACTGGAAATATGTAAACTTCTCAGTGCAGCTTCAATTTACTTTAATCTAATAGAGTTCTAAGAATACAGTATTCGTCGCAGAGATGATTTGGGAGATTGCTCACCGGCAGAGTCGCGCGATCGCGTTCTCTGCTGCCCTCGGTGAAGCATGCAGGCGGTTTGCGCACTTGCCACCTATTACCCCTCAATAGCGGCGCAACACATTTCTGGTGGGGGCTCGCACAATCGCGATAGCAGATACAGGGTTTCAAGCTTTTTTGAAGGGTCCATGACGTTTTGAGTCCGTTTTCGGGATGCCCTGCCCATGGCCAATTTTCTCCGCATCTACTATCACCACATGTCGACGGGGAAGATCCTTCCCTTCAAATAGATCTATCGAGTGAGGGACTGCGATTTTTTTTTTAGAGGAGATACAGCGTTTGAAACATTTCTGAGGGGTCCATGACTTTTTCTACCGGTTTTCGGGCTGCCCAACCCCCGATGAATTTTTTTTGTAACTAAGACCACAGTAGCTCGACGGGGAAAGTTGTTCTCTTCAAATTGATTTCTCGAGCGAGTGGCCGCGATTTTTTTCAAAGGAGATATGCGTTCCAGAGGCGTTTCTTTACGTTTCTAGGCGTTTCTAGATGTTTCTAGATATTTCTAGGCGTTTCTGACGGAGACGAGCAGCCCCTTAAGAAGAAGGTAACTACGATGGCCTTTCGTTTTTTCGAACGGACAGCAATTCATTTTTTGGCCACGTTGTCCCTTTTATTTTTTTCTGTCACTTTGTCAGGATTGACGGACAAGAGACGGCAAACGATCATTTCGATTATATTTTGTCGATTCTACATTTAAATGGATTTTTTCCTACTTAGTAATATGAAAAATACCAGTTCAGTCAATTTAACGAGATCGATCTACCATTAATATTCTTGACTTTTAGTAACTTTTTTTGCTGTCTAATCTCAGACTTCCTGAATTTTGTTGAATGTTCTGTTTTGCCTATCCTTTGTGCCCCTTTCTAGGTTTATTACAACAGGATTTATTTTTTTTTCAAGTCATCAAGGATAGTTCATAGCTGCAGATCTTGCTGGACTTCTTGGTAACAGATGTTAAAAGATGTTAAACGATATTTGTTATCGCAGAGATGAGTTGGGAGCAGAGATGAGGAGGATCCTTGAATTGGGCCGCCATTGGGGGGTATCAGGTGGTAAATGCATTAGCCGTCCATAGCCTCCGCCAAGGAGCAGCACAAGACGCGATAGCGAGGGCCTGCCCGTGAGCAATCTTCCAACTCATCTCTGTCTCTGACTCTATAGCCAGAGATGAGTTGGGAGATTGCTCACGGGCAGGGTCGCGCGATCGCACCGTGTGCTGCCCTCTGATTTCGTACGTTAGTTTATGCACTTGCCACCTGTTACAATACTGTCACAAAAACTCCAAAACCCTGTACCTCCTCCGAAAAAAATCGCAGCCACTAGCTCGAGAGATCAATTTAAGCAGAACAATCTTCCCCATCAAGCTAAAAAAGAGATGAACTCCTCACAAAAACTCTAAAACCCTGTACCTCCTCCGAAAAAAATCGCAGCCACTAGCTCGAGAGATCAATTTAAGCAGAACAATCTTCCCCATCAAGCTAAAAAAG